CTATATACAGCTGTGTTCTATACTGTCACCCTTTGTGTATATGTAACAATATATATATATAGCTATGTTCTATACTGACACTCTTTGTGTATATGTACCACTATATACAGCTATGATCTATTCTGTCACCCTTTGTGTCATGTAACACTATATACAGCTATGATCTATTCTGTCACCCTTTGTGTATATGTAACACTATATACAGCTATGATCTATTCTGTCACCCTTTGTGTCATGTAACACTATATACAGCTATGATCTATTCTGTCACCCTTTGTGTATATGTAACAATATATATATATATAGCTATGATCTATACTGACACCATTTGTGTCATGTAACACTATATACAGCTATGATCTATTCTGTCACCCTTTGTGTCATGTAACACTATATACAGGTATGATCTATTCTGTCACCCTTTGTGTATATGTAACACTATATACAGGTATGTTCTATACTGTCACCCTTTGTGTATATGTAACACTATATACAGGTATGTTCTATACTGTCACCCTTTGTGTATATGTAACACTATATACAGGTATGATCTATTCTGTCACCCTTTGTGTATGTGTAACACTATATACAGCTATGATCTATTCTGTCACCCTTTGTGTATGTGTAACACTATATACAGCTATGTTCTATACTGTCACCCTTTGTGTATATGTAACACTATATACAGGTATGATCTATTCTGTCACCCTTTGTGTATGTGTAACACTATATACAGGTATGATCTATTCTGTCACCCTTTGTGTATGTGTGACAATATATACAGGTATGTTCTATACTGTCACCCTTTGTGTATATGTAACACTATATACAGCTATGATCTATTCTGTCACCCTTTGTGTATATGTAACACTATATACAGCTATGATCTATTCTGTCACCCTTTGTGTATGTGTAACAATATATACAGGTATGTTCTATAGTGACACCCTTTGTGTTTATGTTCCAATATGTTTGGATATGTTCTATACTGGCAGCCTTTGTGTACATGTAACAATATGTTTAGATACGTTCGATATGGACTCCCTTTGTGTATATGTCACAATGCATATAGATATGTTCTATACTGACACCCATTGAGTATATATAACAATATATACAGGTATGTTCTATACTGACACCCTTTGTGTATACGTGACTAGATATATAGCTATGATCTATACTGACTGACACCCTTTGTGTATATGTAACAATACATTCAGCTATGTTCTATTGTGAACACTGAAAACAGCTTTTTTTATAATAAAAGAAATAATATATTCTTTACACTGTCTTTCGGAAAGTCTAAACGTTGTTGCAAAATGGGTTTGTTTTCATTCTTATGCCATCGTTGAAACTGTGAGTAGTCTTAATTTTCGTGTTTTTCTTTCCTGTATAAATTTGTGAACCAAGTTCATGTCAACTTGTCAAGTCTAGTCTTTTTCATTGTGTTTTCATTTTCCTTGGCAGTTATCGTTGTAATCATCGTTCACAAAGGCAAACCTGTGTGTACTAATTCCGGTGTTTGGATTCCCACGTTTTTGGATTCGGGTGGTCGAAAAATTCGTTAAAGAGCAAGCCATTTAACAAATGCAATCCGGGCTTTGTGGCGTTGATCTTGGCGCACTTGAAACAGTTCCTGGCAACACTCGCAAACTGAATCTTGGAACAAAGGCATTAAATGTGTTCAGAGGTTGAATCATACGAATAACTCTTCATGTCAGTCAGATCTACGTCCGCTTTAACGAGGTCATTTACTTTGACAGGTGTCAAATGGTCAGCCATGTTTGTTTACAAACAAAACAGACGTAGTTTTAGTTTTTACTGAAAAATGAAAATCATGTGAAATAAAGAAAAAAGAAGAAGTGAAATCATGTTGTGGATATGAAACTATGTATCTTTTCTTATACATCTCGAATCAGTGAGATTGTAGAACGTAAAACATTTGAATGAATAGCGTGGATTTGTGAATGAATAGAAAATTCGTCCCAGAAATGATGCAGGTCTCAGGCGTTTGTCAATTTGGTGAAATCCACGAGCACGGATGCTGGCAAAACAAACCTAGAAACATGATTGGGGCGAACCGGGATTCGAAACCAAGATCATAGGATTCTAGCATGCCCAAGGGACGCAACTCTACAGGGCGAATTGCCTCGACTGAGACGACTGGGCCACCCATGTCCCCTAAAAAAATGAAGCAGATTTCAGTAGACTTGTACAGGTCAACCTAACAATCTGTCTCCTTGGAATAGAAGTGTAACAATATCATCTATATAATTTCTCTTCATATTTATATTCAGGAGTCCATTATTCATTACCATTGTAATAGACGCGAATGGCTTCAACATTGCTAACTAGCTGTAACCTATAAACTCTAGCTAACTGCTGACTTACATTCATACTAAACTGTTGATATTCCTAAAAAAGCCTTCTCCATCTACGTTTGTGTGATATGGATACATATATAGAAGATGTATGTGTGTCAGGGTCAAGTGTGAAGCAGATTGATCAAATTATCGATCAGGTCCTAACTCATTTGCTTAAAGAGCCATGTACCATGCGTTATACATATAGCGCCAACGATCATATGAAACATACACCAAGAAGAGCCAGCATATACAATTATGCAGCCAATGGAGAGTAGCTTCGACATTTTTCGTAAAGCCATGGTGGGCTATATAGCTTAATTATCATAATTTGTTATCTCGCTGTGCATTGGTCAAAGTGTTTATCGATTCAAGTATTAAAGTGAGTGAGTGAGTGAGTGAGTTGGGTTTAACGCCGCCTTTAGCAGTATTCCAGTTATATCATGGCGTGTCAGCTTAATGTGGGAGGAAAGCCCGAAGTGATGCAGGTCTCGGACGTTTACCACTTCGGTGAAACCCACGAGCACGGGTATGGTGCTTACAAACCTAGAAACATAATCGGGGCGAACCGGGATTCGAACCCACAATCATAGGTTTCTGGCGTGCCTTAGGGACGCAACTCTGCACAGCGAATCGCGGCACCTTAGACGACTGGGCCACCCGTGCCCCCTTAAGTATTAAAGCCATAAACCTACGTCTTAACGCTATTAATAATTGACGCTGGCTCTTATTTATTGCCCTATTGGTAGTGGTTGTATTATTTCTTTGTTTTGTTCGTTATGATGGTGGTTTGTAAATAATCGCGTTTGGCCCAGACAATCTAGTGATTGACAAAAACATCATGCGCATCGATCAACCAAGCCAGCGAGCCTGACCACCCGATCCCGTCAGTAGCCTCTTACGACAAGCATAGTCGCTTCTTACAACATGCATGACATTGTGTTGCCGAAGACCTATTATCACCCGGATCTTCACGGGTATAACGACATATAGGAACCACCTTCAACTGGTAGCACCCGACAGCTAACACATGCTGCAGTAAGCAAGTCTGCCACAGTTACGGCACATCTGTCGATACTCGGTAGACAGGTAGCCGATAACAACTCACCTAATTCCTACCGCACATCAAGCTGACGAGCCATCCCTAAAACAACGTCGCATAAAACGGTCCTTTCAATAATACATCACAAAACTGTTTTCCAATCAGTCTAATCCAGCATTTGACTGCGTTTTTAAATCTGTGCATGACGATCTGTCTCAAAAGAAACAATCCCTTATTCAAACCCATGGAAAAAGAATAAAACCTAAAATATCTGCTGCACACATTGACATTAATAACATATATCCCACCCAAATACTGACGTCCCCTCCGTGACGTGTAAAGCCACAGGTAGATCTTTCTTTAAGTATACTAAAGAAATCAGAGAATAATCAACTAATGAGTGAGTGAGTGAGTATGGTTTTACGCCGCTTTTAGCAATATTTCAGCAATATCACGGCGGGGGACACCAGAAATGGGCTTCACACATTGTACCAATGTCGGAAATCGAACCCGGGTCTTCGGCGTGACGAGCGAACGCTTTAACCACTAGGCTACCCGACCGCCCCTATCAACTAATGAATCATCAAGAATATAAGCAATTAAGAAGCACTTACAATACTTACACGTCTATATTTACCTATCAACAAGAACCATATCATCAACTTTACTGGCACGTATTGAAATAACCACAAACACAAATTAAGTTTTTTTTAAAAGATTTATTCCCTCCCTTAAACTACCTTTAAACCCCAATACCAATACTTAAATGTAAACTATCTAAATTAACTAACACAACTAACTAAACTAGCGTAACTTATCCTAGCCTACTTCTGTGACGAATGTCCTACAAGTAACAATACTAACATATACTACTAATACTAATATCTTACAACTAACAATACAACTAACACGATACTACTATACTAATATTAATACTTCTAACAATACTAACACAACACTAATATAAATGTCCTAATAATAACACAAATAATACACATTAATAACATCATGGATGTACAACAACAAAGCCACGCAACTGTCACATCAACTGTACACATAACCTCCAGCATTTCTGATGTCAACTGAACAGTTCTCACAAGAGGACACTTCCTCGTAATAGAGAATGGAGTTGAGGGTGCCCGTTATGCAATCTCATTAAAATCAGACCTTAGTTCTCGCTACAGCTAAACAAAGATCTGAGGACATCCCATTAGGGGTCACGTCAGAACGACCTTTCATCCAACCAATTAGAGCGTCGATTACCAGGTCATGAAAGTGACAGCCGAAACGTGTTTTCTAATCATGCAACCACGAAATATTTGACACGGGGTATTCCGAACGACAGTTACGGGTTTTATGATTATATCCATACAATCTTGTCCATCTATAAGCCATTCCAGAGTGTTCTTCTTATCGGTTTTAATTTTTTTTAATCGAGAATACGTCAAAATATGTTTCGAAGCGTAGTCGCCAGTTTGAAACTAGTGTCCTAAAGCTCGAGAAAGCTGCCTTCTGATTGGCTAATGTCGATTTCTTGTCACTCCACTCATTTCATTGGTCGGTCAAAATTCGAGAAAGGTCGTTCTGACCTGATTTCAATGAAATTGCCCGTTATGTGAATGTCACGTCAGTAGCCATCCTACTCCCACAGAGGCATGCTGTGTGATGCTCACACTAATCGGAGATATTTCGCTCCTAACACAGTTTCGGAGACACTTCTCTCCTTACACATCCTTATTTATAAGGATGACCGGTCAGTTCCGGGACAGCCAACCAGAGAAGAAAGCTCCCACAATGTCAGTCCATGCCTTATATGAACATACTGGTTCTGGCTGACTGTACAAATTATTACCCTGCCCTGCTATTTAAACTGACCCCAAAGTCCAAGCTACCCCTGACCTCCCTATTGTTACACCAATAAACTCCCCAGCTATCAGCCGTATCCAGTCACGCTTCCCTGAAATTACCCAGTTATACCTGACAGTATTCAAAAACCACCCGCCAAGCTCAATATACTAATTTAACCATACCAATACATCTATCAAAAGTACTAACATTTAATTAATACATACAAGATTATCTGTGATCTTGACAATTACCAAATAACAGTTCAATGTTTACGGCAGAATCACAGGCAATATTAAAAACATAAACAGTTCATCACATTTTCCGATTCCCTTTCCTGTCTGCAGGCCATTAAGAATATTTCATATGAACATCATCTTTTACGAGCAATTGTAGAATTACATAACAATCTTACAATGACCAGTACGACATCGTCTTTTGTTGGTTACCCAGTCATGTTGGACTCAATGGTTGCTGCTGCTGCTAAAGCAGCACTCAACAAATCTGTGACACCACTTGTCATTCCATACAGTGATTATAAACCTGTAATTAGATGTTACATCAGAAGTCTAATACAAAAGAAATGGGACACCCAAGAAGGTATTAACAAATAACATATAATAAAACCAACTATCGCTTACACCTACTTGGGTTATTAGTCCAGATTGGAAGAGGTCATTATACGACGATGTCGTATTGGCCATTCAAGATATAAACATGAATATTTATTGAAAGGTGAGGATCATCCATTTTGTATCCCTCTGTGATGAAAGTATCACATTCAAGCATGTCCTGCTTGGCGGTGTTGATGTTTCCATCACAAGGGATACATATTTCAAATCATCATCTATTAAAGATGTTTTTAATAGTATTAATTCTTGTTTAATCATTGACTTTTGAAAGGCAATAGAGTTATTTGACCCAATGTGATGTATATGTTGTAAAAACTAAATGTTTTTAAATTGGTAGATTAAATAAGCAACTGAGATTGTTAGTGGCCGTATCCTCCAAAGGGGTTAAAGTACTGTAAAAGTATTGTCCCCCTGAGAGGGTACATAAGTTCCACATCACTGAAAGTAAATTTAGGCCAACCACATTTTAATCATGATATATTTGTTTTAATTGATGGCTAAACTTGACAACAATCGCCGCCGGCTGAAGTGATGGTGTAAATCCTGTTGGAGTTCATACAGGTAGCAAAGGTACTGTAAGTCACCTTGGTCCCTAGTTTAGTGATCTACCTTCAGTTGCTGGTGATCTATAGCCCGTGTTTATAGTGTTGTTTCCTGATAATTTGTTTTTTTAAATGTTCTCAACTAGTTTTAAATCGAATCTGTGATATTCTAGTTATTGTACTGTCCATCGATGACAGGTTTTTATTAAGTCTAAAATATATGTAATTTTAATGTATAATTTTGTCTCATCACGACATGGCTGAAATATTGCTGATGTGACGTTAAATTTTAACTCACTCACTCCACTCCACTGGTGACCTGATGGAACTGTGTCAACCTGCATAATCGTGTTTCGCTTAGCCAGAGGTTAATGAGGTCATACGTGACATGATGGCAAGGCTATCAGTACATGTGAAAATAAAGCAATGTGAACCCAATATTTCACACAGTGGAAACATTTATGATCCTCTTATTTTAGTACCGGTTAGTAGAGAGAATAAACTGTTCAAACACATTTTCATTTCCGAATTAATACATAAACATTCTAAGGCAAGTAAACATTTGAAAAAAAGAAAATGTCCATATTTCAAACCCATTTTGTGTGGACAGACAGTTTCAGACAGACTTACGACAATCAAACTAAATGCATAAACTGAAGTATCAACTTCGGAACTCATGCTTGGAATTGTTTGTCAATCATAGCATTTGTGGCAATGGTGTTTATGCTTTCTGACGTAAGGGATGATCATATGCTACAATACTTTCACTGATATGTTTTATGTACATTTGTGTCCAATGAGGCTGGACTTGCTAGTTTACATGTGTTACAATCATGCATTTAACCACTGTAAATGCAAAGTGTGACACATTTATATATATAATCATTTCCTTCTTCTTGCACTGGATAATGAATACATAATGGAGCCGATATTGAATACATTATGGAGCCGAAAATGAATACACAATGGAGCCGAAAATGAATACACAATGGAGCCGCTCTCCTTTCCAGCAGGCTCTGCTAATCTCTACTCCACTCCACTCTCCACTCATCTCCGCACCGCTCTCCTCTCTGCTCTGCTGTCCTCTCCTCTCCACTCCGCTCTCCTCTCGCGGTCGCTCCGCTAATCTCTACTCCTCTCCGCACCTCTCTCCTCTGCTGTCCTCTCCTTTCCGCTCTGCTCTCCTCTCCAACACGCTCTGCTAATCTCTACTCCGCTCCGCTCTCCACACCGCTCTCCTCTCTGCTCTGCTGTCCTCTCCTCTCCACTCCGCTCCCCTCTCCAGGTTGTTCTGCTAATCTCTACTCCTCTCCGCACCGCTCTCCTCTCTGCTCTGCTGTCCTCTCCTCTCTCCTCTCTAGGTCGCTCCACTCTCCTCTCCAGGTTGCTCCGCTCTCCTCTCCAGGTCGCTCCGCTAATCTCTGCTCCTCTCCGCTCTCCTCTCCTCTCCAAGTCGTTCCACTGATATCCATTCCTCTCCGCTCTGCACTCCTCTCCACTCCACACTCCTCACGGCTCCGCACTCCTCGTGGGTTCGAATAACAGATGTCCCCTTGGTATGATCTTTGGTTTGTCAGAACCAGAACCCTTTAATTATTATGCACACATGCTAGGATATAGCTGAAACGATTCCCAACATTTCTGATGTCCCCCGCCGTGATATCGCTCGAATATTGCTAAAAGCGGCGTTAAACCATACTCACTCACTATTTGTATAAGTTAAGTCTAAACGTTCAATCGTGTTTCGCAATTGCTCTCTGTTCCATCGTTTTTCTCAATAAATGTCTCCTCCTCATCAACTGTATTTTCCGTTTCAATAGAGCCATACTTCGTCACAAGCGTCTTAACAATCAGAACAAGGGACTCAAAAAACACAAAGGCCACAACGGCCTCGATTAAAGCGAGGTAGATGTACCATTTGTAGGATACCATCTGAAGGAGGTAACCGAGCAACAAAGGCATCAGAATTCCTTGCGAGCTCCCTGCTATCCAGATGACTGTCGTCACTACCCCTGATACCTTCATCACGTCATTTTCAATATACACAAGTCCAGTTGGGAATATAGCTGACATTCCTAAAGCTGCAAGGACCATGCAGATCCATATCCCTGGGTCGGATTTATAAATTATGCTGAGCCACAGACCACCTACAGACAATACGCCAAGACCATTAGAAATAAACAAAAGCTGACGAGGGTTAAGGATTCGATCCAACAGCATACACAGCAAGCGAGAGGCTGCGAAACTCGCCCAATAGAGCGATGTTAAGTTGGCAGTCTTTTCCTTGCTCCATCCAAGGTCATTTACAAAATACGCCATCATGTAGCCAATGATGACACTGATGGAAGAACAGTTGAAGAAATAGAGGCCTCCCACACTCCCAAGGACAAGCAGACGCAACCATCTGGGAAGCACCCTAGGATTTCGAAGTTTCTCATTTCTTGTTTCACGTTTCGCGTTTTGAGGACTTAAAAAGCATTCTGCAGTAATCATGATTCCTGATAGCAAACTGATCCCTCCTGCTATCAGGTATCCGTACTGAATGCGACTTTCGGAAGGGAGACAACTCTCCGGAATAGGGAATGTTGTTTCATTCAAGATGACAGCAACATGTCCGTCGGTGTAGTTATAAGACTGCGGGAAGTTATGTATGTCACAGAAGGTCGCGTTGTAGTCTTTTTTCTCGGATAGGAAGGGTTCCACGGTGAACGGTGCTATGATCGTTCCGGCGGAATAGAGAAAGGATAGAATCCGTATATACATCTTGCCTCCTACACCCCACGTGTGCATCATGTCAAAAGTTCCACCTGAAATCATCATACCTACATTTAGCATTTTATATAAACTTATTTGAAATATATAATTAGATTTTACTGAATATATAAGCAACCAAATACATATATATATAAGTTAAGGCTATCGCTATCCCCTAATCAAATAACAAATGCAAATAACAACCTAAATGATATCCTGATTATTTATACAATATATAATCAAATAGTGGTCCAGACAGCATATTGTTACATTGATCACATCAATTTCTGGTTGTAATGACGAGAAATGTTCATAGTTTCACGTTGTTGAGACCATTGTGATACATTGTCATAAAATATACCAACGGAAAAAAGTAACCGTGCTTTATATATGGCTCAATATGAATCAATCCATCCTGCAATTAAATAATGCATCCTCCAATACCTATTCATAAAGACATCTCCTCGACTTTATAGTCGTGATTCTCATTTTGCACATGCAAGTTCATGCACGGCGCACAAATTGGATGTTTACGTGTTTGTTTGGAGTATGACACTCATACATGTGTTTTTCACGAACAACACACAATCACTGTGAAGCTATCATGAGCTAATAAAAACACAATTGTTTAACCGTAATCAACTGTTACGCAATTCCACGACTAACTGACAATTAGCGTGTATGCGTCGTGGATATGCTGTGAACAGATATGCCAAAAGTAGCCAGACATTTTAATGTCCATCGAAACACATCATAATCTCTTTGGGGACGTTATCAACAGCAAGGGCAACACTCATGACTTGCCACGGGCCGGTCGTCCACATGTGACATCAGGCCAACAAAACAACCATATTCGGTTGGTGTATCTACCGAATCGTCACCAAACTGCCACATTAACAGGGCAATTCCTGGGTTCAGATCAATTTGCGGCAGAACCCTAAGCAAACAGTTGAGGGAGCACGAGATCCAGCCCCACGTCACTCTTTAGCTTGGTGTAGACAACATTTGAGTTTCAGAAGAAAACTGTTCACAGATGAGTTTCATCTCGACAGCTCTGGCAAGGGTTTACTTGCATCAAAGAGAATGTTTAGCGACGGTTGCGTCACTCAACGTGGTCTGTTTGGGGGTGGAAGGGTAATGGTATGGGTTGTCATCACAATTCATCTCATCAAATCAGATGTTAGTTTTCGCTACCGCTAAACAAAGATCTGAGGACATCCCATTACGGATCACGTCAGAACGACCTTTCGCGAATTTTGACCGACCAATGATATGACCGACAAGAAATCGACATGAGCCAATCAGAAAGCAGCTTTCTCGAGCTTTACGACACAAGTTTCAAACTGGTGACTACGCTTCGAAACATATTTTGACGTATTCTCGATTAAAAAAATTAAAACTGATGAGAAGAATATTCTGGAATGACTTATAGATGGCTTAGATTGTATGGATATAATCATAAAACCCGTAACTGTCGTTCGGAATACTAACACATTCCGACTGTCACTTTCATGATCTGGTAAGCGACGCTCTGATTGGTTGGATGAAAGGTCGTTCTGAGGTGACCCTTAATGGGATGTCCTCAGATCTTTGTTTAGCCACAGCGAGAACTGATCTGATTTTAATGAGATTGATTTGAATGCTACCAGGACGTCATCATCCCAGATCATGTTCTACACTTTCTGCTAATGCACGGACGTACCATCACGTTTCAGCAGGATAATACCCCTCCACAACAGTAACGATTGTTTAAAGGAAGCATAACATTGCTGTTCTGTTTCACCACTTCTCTCCCCATGTCTGGGCTGAGATGTAGGGACACCTATGACAGGCGGCAACGCAAGATCAGCTGGACCGATCTCTAGTTCATATTTAGTGGGGGCACGGGTGGCCCAGTCGTCTAAGGCGCCGCGATTCGCTGTGCAGAGTTGCCCCCCTTGGGCACGCCAGAAACCTATGATTGTGGGTTCGAATCCCGGTTCGCCCCGATTATGTTTCTAGGTTTGTCAGCACCATACCCGTGCTCGTGGGTTTCACCGAAGTGGTAAACGTCTGAGACATGCATCACATCGGGCTTTCCTCCCACATTAAGCTGACACGCCGTGATATAACTGGAATACTGTTAAAAGCGGCGTTAAACCCAACTCACTCACTCACTCATATTTAGTGTCTTCAATGCGCCGCCGCTTCCTCAACTTTGTCAAAGCAATAGAGGTCACACCCGACATTGATATTGTTAATTGATTGTTTACCAACCCTCTTTTAGGGTGTGGTAATATGTCTCCTGTTACCGTGTATAGGGTCTGTCTTTGAATTTGTTGAAATAAAACATTGATCAGACGAATAACCAAATATTATGTTTTTGTTTTCAAGATCAACATTTACACCACTTTATATGAAACACAGTTCCTTTTTTCCGTAAGTATATATGTTTATTGCTGCTAAGTATTTCCAACAAATGAGTAGAGTTTACCTGAATCAAAAGCTGATGTTACTGTCCCATTGAGAAAAAATAGACAAATGGTCAAGACGTAGTTCGTACTCCATGGTAAGGCGCTGTCACTGACAGTGCTCAGTAGGGTAAAAATGGCCAGCAGGCCTTGCCTGTACTTGGCTACTTTCTCAATGAGGACACCCATGATGGCTGATCCCACGAGTCCCCCTGCCGCGAGGGACGTGTAGAAGACTGATGCTTCCTCTACATTGCTCCCAGTGATCTGGGCAAAGTCCAAGAACGCCGGGCCATGTTGGGAACGGCTAATACCCTGCAAAAATATTGGAGGTATTTACTGAAATTACAGTGACTGATCATGTGTAAATTCACAGTGAATTAGCGAATTTAACAACGACTTTGATAAAATCAAGGGTAATTTGTAACGATATTCGAGTTATGTATGCAAGAAACTTACACCTTTCCTCATGTGTGTTTCTGTTAAATATCTAAGTGGAAGAGTTATCCAAAAACGTTTGCCTTTTGCAGTTTGAACCTCAGAGCAGGTTAATTGTATAATGAAATAAGTGGACATACACAAGACTTACCATGGCTAGGAACGCAAAGAAAAGTATCAAGGTGTGGATGAACTTCCGGCGGAACTCGGGATCCTGTAGTTGCTGCCGGAAGTGAACTGTTCCGGAAGTTGATCTGACGGACTCAGGCCCCATGGCAAACTGAATGGATGTAAAGAAACATATTTGGTATATGATCTTGAACAAAGGACTCAGGAAAACCGAACGGCTCTGTTGACGCTGAGGGAGGGAGTTAGCTACAAGACTTTTGTTTCCTAGTTTACCGGTGATTACCTTGGGCATGTAACATCACCTTTCCGCGAACGTCTGGTAACATCATCATGATTCATAAACACATGCTCATGATATTGATGGAATCGTATTACGTACTCGCAGAGATTTGTTATGATTATCGAAGGGTTTTCGTTATTGTTTTTGAGCAGAAAACTATTTTAAATTTGCTAAGTAGCGCTGGGTATGCCTGTTGTTGTCCATCAGCAATCGTCGGGTGGAGGACTACCTGTCTTGAGAGTCGGACATTTCCCAACAAGAACCATGTCCCCAAAAGACAATTGGCCACTCAGAAAGTGCCTCAAACTGACATTTCCTACATCATCATCATCATTATCATCATCACCTTCATCATCATCATCTTCTGACAGCGGATTAACGTATTGTAGGCTAGACTAACATAACATTGCCATGGGATATTCGTGTTTTATTTTAAGACATTCTGTGGAATTAACAATTATTTATTTACTGACATCAAAACAAATAAGTAGTCATTTTATGAACGGGGATATTCGTGTTTTATTCACCAAATACAATGCAATGAACTTTTACCGAGTCTTAACTGAAAAATGTAATGCAGTTACAATAAATGCACTGCCATATAACACTGATACAGACACGAGTTGTTTTAATCAAGAGCATTCGGATGCAATTAAATATGAGTAACTATGAAAAAGTACTTTTCCGCCAGTTGGGCAGGCTGTGTATGGGTTTTTTTCTGAACAATATTATTTGATCACTTATCATATTAAAAAATAGCTAGGGCAAATTCATTTACACTCTTCAAAAAAAGAGACGCACGGGTAGATTTTTAGTAAATTTATTGTACCTAATAAAGTCGATATATTTAATTTAATATCATAGATACAAATATGACTTTACCGTCACCGAATTTGTGAATTCACGTACACAATGTGGGGCAAAAACGCTCATTGTCTTCCATGATGACAGAAATCGTGATTCATGGCTAAACCACACTCGTCTCCAGTTTCTCAAATTCCAAGGCTGTAAGGTATGGTAGCAACGCAAGCGTCATTGTCGATTGATCTGTTGCAAAGCAGAGACGATAACTGGTCTTCTGGGTCGGATTCCAGCCACGCAAAGATGGTTCCTGACAATCTTGTCCGATATCCTCCTCAAACCAGGGATGCGTCCTGCAGTCTCCGTAGCTGTGGCATTGCGATGACGTAGGTGGAACAGTCAAATGTAGCGATCCTGTGCAGGGGTGGTAACTCTTGGTCGGTCGGTCGATTCTCGGACGGTCTGCAGTGGAATTGAACTGTGTGTACCGGTCACAAAAGCGGCAAATGGTGTTGTGGTGGACATTGAAGTGGCGCGCAACAGAAGACTGCGATTCCCCTCTTTGGATATACGTCCTATGGCGATGTTCCGATCGGTAGCGCTGAGTCTCGGCATTTTCACACTTGAAAAATGTTGACAATTGAATGACAAATTATTGGCTTAAGATTGCCTTTTTATAGCCACCACCACGAGATACGAATGCCATAACTTGCACGTGCATTTTGCTTTACGGTTTTCCACAATGATATTTTTGAACAAGTGTGAAAACAATGCCGTTTAAGACATTGCAAATCGACAATGGCTGCGTTTTGACGCACCGTTTGTGGAATATCAGGCCACCAACATTTTCCAATAACATATAACCAATTTATATACCGGATTTTTTGTTGTACCTCTTCTCACACCTCCCGCCTTGCAAAGGCTGCTGTGCGACAATTAGGTTTGAAGAGCTTCCTCACCCTCCATACTCGCCAGACCTGGCACCAACAGATTTCCACATGTTTCCTAAAATATTCAATTTCTTTCAAGAATTCTTTTGAACAATTATTTTTTTTCGAAAATTGTTAATGCGTAAATGGAGAAGAGACCAAAACTGACGAGTGTCACCTGAGTGTATTTTGCTCGTGTCCCCGTCTAGTGACCTTTCCGCCCCCTGGCTTTATTTCCGACACCGCTCGGCAAAATCCGGCGGTTGTCATTGTACAGTGTCATTACATTCTGTGTTAGGGAATAAGATGTATGTTATCGCGTACATGTTCGCTACCTTATTCTTGTATTGAAAATGTTTTTGTAACCATGATTTTCAAACATAAGGGAATTTATATGTACACTCAGATATTTCTCAAGTATTTATGATAATATTTGCCTCCTCAATAATTGCACATTGCTTGTTGTATATCTCTAATGATACAGTTGGATTGGTTATGTTCAGCGCTTTTTATCTTGATACTTACATCTCCGATTCATTATGGATATAATAGTTTGTTTGCTGGTTGTGCTTTACCCGTGTTTAGAAACAGTTTGGCCAAAAGAAATGCAGTTTCCAGTATCCCGATCCCTTCCGGATACCTCCAGACATTTACCCAAAACGCATCCGGGTATCCGGTGGAAGATACCTTGCCGGATACCAGATCCGTGGTATCTGGCATTGGACACCTCACCGGAAAGCCTGCCTCCTGGAATCAGGGTATCCGACACCGGATACCTCAATCTGGGTGTCCAAGGATCTGGCACTGGATACCCCACCAGATACCTCATTCTGAGTTTCCCCCCAAAATGTCACAATTTTGTTCAGTTAAGTGTGAAACACCTAAAAATATATTAGAAACTTACCATGAAAATTGACAATTGCTGAAGGTATCCAGCAGACATCGAGATGCATTTTTTCGAGATGTCTTTATTCTAGTAAATAATGTTAGCGTGGGCAAATCAGATAGCTGTAGTAATATTCTGTGTTATTTTAGTTGTAAATATCCCCTTAAAGTTGAGATCTATGGGCATGTACTTTTGTAGAAGACAATTTTTCAATTTCATCTATAATTCTTTTTTAGATGGTAAGCTGTTTAATGAACAAACATCAGTTCTAATACATGTATGATGATATCCTTAAATTTCATGTTCACACTTCCAGTTTGTTCTGAGTGAAAGTATTAAGTCATCGATTGTGTGCTCACTTTGGCCTTTGGTCCTGGTGAGATGATAATAAGATTATTTGTGACGGTACTTGTTCTATCAAGACATACCAGCTTCATTGAAGTTTGAAACACAATATGCCTCACTCTGCAGGTGACATGTGACATTTCATCACACTACAGAGAGCTCTTCCTCAGTTACTGTGAACATTTTTATTGAAAGACATTGAAAGTTAATTTGACCTTCAATATCAGTTGCGACTATTTCAAAAACACTTGTAAAGGGCTTCATAACACTTATACCAATTATGAAGGCCCAAGGAAGAATTATATGCAACAATGAAAATATGGCTTATGATACTCATTGAAATTAGGTGACTGTGATTTGTTACCACTGCTCATACATGAGTATTCAAATAATATAACATATAATACTGCATGCATAATACTTCACAAATATCTCCAGAAATAGGCATTTTAATAGAAAATATACTTTATGAATGACCTTCACTATTGCCTTGATCTTAAACGTCAACCCTTCATGAGTTATCACTTTTGACCTTGACAGTGAATTTGACCTTCAATATCTGTGACAAATATTTCGAAAACATTTTAAAGAGCTATCCAGCACAAAAACCAAATATGATGTCCTTTGGTGGAATTTAATGTAACATTGACAAAATTATGAACATGATATACCACTATATGTATGAGAGTTATTTAGACTTCTGCAGGAAAAGGCACTTCCGAGTAAAATTAAGTATATGTAGGTCATGCATGACCTTTTGCCAACTTCTACCCCTGCCCTAAGGAAGAGTTTGACCATAAACAAACTTTTTGTCTGGCTATGACATTGACCTTTGACATAACAGATCAATGTGTCATCAGACTTTCCCAGAGCTAAGGAAACACATGTTATTCCTCAGAGGTCCAAGCAGTGCATGGTTTCATCAGATAACTGTGGCTATCAAATGGGGGTAAAATCTTGGAACATCCCAATTTACACAGCTGGCTAATGAAACATTAACAACAAACAAATTATCAATTTCTTTTATTTATATGCCTATATCACACATTGAACAGTGTTCACATGATGGTTCCTGATGCTGTATGCAATTTCCTCCTATTCTTCAATACTCATAACAGAGCAAGATAACTGTTTGCTTGAAAGCACCAGCAGACCACGCTCACCAGTTGGTTTGCTTTGTTGTTTAATGCCGCACTCAGCAATATTCCAGCTATATGACGACAGTCTGTACATAATCGAGTCGGTACCGGACAATCCAGTGATTAATATCATGAGCATCGATCCACGCAATGGGGATCGATGACATGCATCAACCAAGTCAGCGAGTCTGACCACCCAATCCCGTTAGTCGCCTTTTACGACAAGCATAGTCACCTTTTACGGCAAGCATGGGTTGCTGAAGACCTATTCTACCCCGGAATCTTCCCGGGTCATCATGGGAAGGTTAGTTATCCAGGGATTACCAGTTCCGATCACCAGTTCAGAGTTACTTGCCCTCAAATCTCCTTTTCCTTCTATATTGCAATGGAAAACAGGAACCAGGATGAGGGGAGGCCAGATGGGCTCCATCCCTGTTGCATTGTGTTAGTAGAATTGTGAACATTCTATTTGGTGTTTGGGTCCACATTTATAGACAATAAGTCCCATTCATCATTCCTTTCAAGTGATTACCACATGGCCAAAGACAACAATTTCTTCAACGTCCTTGAAGGGTCCCACTCCGACTTGGCCAGACCTGCCTTTGTGAGTTAGTCCCAGCATGCAGCTTCTCGGCGGGCCTCCATTGAAATAACAGGACTCTCCTCATTGCTGTCTCATCACTTCTTAAATCTGGAGGGGTCCTTCCAGACTGACAACCTCGAGTACTCAACCAGGGATCTCAAGCTGGGCTTCAGTTTCTGCAGAATTATGTAGAAAGATTGTAGCAATAAAAAAGAATTGTTGCAACATGTACTTACAGATAGAAGGCAGCAAATTTACTTAATTTATCATATATGAGTCTTGTTAAATACTAAACATTTGAGATATATATTGTTCCATGTTGATGAGTTGAAACAATCATTAACTGACATCTCTTAAAAAGGTTCCTAGCAACCTATGCTTGCCATACAAGCCAAAGTAATAGATGAGGTAGTAAGTGGGCTCATTGATCGCTCAAAATCGTACCCCAATGACGTGGGATATTGTCCATAACAGTCATCATTGGTGCGCCTGGATCGAGTTCATCACATCAATCACTGGTTTTTCTGGTTAAGATTTGAAATTTGATTATTTATAATCCTTGTGATATAGCCGAACTATTGCTGGATGTGGTGTTAAATGAGCGAGTTGGGTTTAACGCCACTTTGAACAGTATTCCAGTTATATCACGGTGTGTTAGCTTGATGTGGGAAGAAAGCAGGGAAGTAATGCAGGTCTTAGATGTTTACCACTTTGATGAAACCCACAAGCAAGTGTATGATGCTGACAAACCTAGAAACATATTCGGGGCGAACCTAGATTCAAACCCACGACCATCGGTTTCTGTCAAGCCCAAGGGATGCAATTATGCACAGCAAATTGTGGTGCCTTACATAATTGGGCCATCCATGCCAACACGGTGATAAAGAACAAGCAAACTGAAGAAATATTTGCAGAATAGTTACATGAACATGATGAACCAAACAGAATAATTTCAAATATTTACCACTCACTGCTACTCTTCTCTTGTTCCTCATTGCTTCTCTTCTATGGGCTTCTCTATTTCCATTGATGCTGTGCAGATGACTGACTCTTTTATTCATCCAGACATTCTGCAAACAAAAGTAGCATTCACATTACAGAAATGTCCAAACATTACATGTTGTACATTGGATTCAATTAAAAAGACTCAGTTGAGATACCAACTTATTCTATTTTCTTGGGCCTTCTTTCTCGTTTGGCAACTGTTGAATAAGTAGTAGTATTTTACTAATATATATCAGTAAGCAATAATTTTTCAGTTAAGCCAGTAAAAAAAGTGAACATGTTTTCAAATGTACCCAGTACAATGTGTCAAGGTAACATGACTGGTAATTACTTGTACATGTACAGTATCAATATACATAGTATGTGAAATTATGCATGCATGTACCTATCTTCCTGCATGGTATACATCTGGAATGTATTACATTACATATTTCTGTAGTTTCTAAATATCATATTAAGTGCAACATATCATGATCAATTATTATTTCCGTGAACATGTCCCAATAACATCACAATTTAAATACTAAAAATAATCTTTATATTTCTACTGAGGTAATTTGTTGTTAGAAAACATGCAACAATTATAACAATAATGATGATATTAAAAATATGACATTGCATCACAAAATAACAATACATGCAGTTAATAATGATTCTGGACGTGTTTGCTTTTGACTGGAATCGAACCGATGTCTAAAGACTAATCTTTCAGACTACCATTCAAAAGCTTCATTACATCTTGTTTCAATATTAAAAATATACACTTTGTTATTATGCACATTAAAGTATGAACCCGTCATAATTTTGATGAAATAATAAATGTTTGAACCCATCACACTTGTTGAAATAAAAAAAATGTGTGAACCCATCAAACTTGTTGAAATAGAAAATGTATGCAAATCTAAATGGGCACTCACTGTAATTTATGGATGATGAACCTGATACTCCTCAGTACTGATTCAGCCATCTGAGGTGCTGAGCTCAATCAATATTTTAAGGTGTTTTGCAAATATCTTCCTCATACTTACTTGGCGTATTTCAAATATCATATATTTTTAGAATGTCAAATGATATGGATATACATAATACATCATAAGTACCATTACTCTACTACAGTAGTATATTGAATATCAGATAACATAGAGTTACATATGTAGAATCTAGAGAAGATAGCCAAAGGTTTACGTTAGGTACGTTTAATGGACTTACTTAATGCCATTCCACTTCTTCCGAACATCGGTTGCTGATCGGCTACTAGCTGTATTTGCATTGATCCTGTAAATGATAGTCGGTGTTGGAATTATGGAAGTGCAGGATCTTTATGTTTTATTTTACTGACTGGACAAAACGCAGTTATATAAGTTATAGTTTTTGTTGAACTAAGGCATTAAGACTGGGACGAGTCCAGATTTACTACCCGGGTACCCAAACCCCTATTACCCGACCCTACCCGGGTACCCGCAATAGGTCTCATTGCCCGATTGGGAATAGTTTGACCGTAGGCAAAATGTATTTTTAAACGTTTTAAAAGATCTGGTCATGCATACATTGACGTTGACTGAATTTTACCTTTATTCAAACATATAAGTCAGGTGGAATGCGTGCATGGTCAGAAAGAAATGGGAACATTAGTGACTTGTGGTGTAAACATGGACTTCTAGATAATTCTTGTCTTTAAACAATATATCACACGACTAATCACGGGTCCGAGTAGTCCTGTGGGTACCCGGGTCCTGCTTAGAACCCACCCGACCCAAGTACCCGAGTTACCCGTCCCAGCCAGTTATTTTCTAGGTTTTGCTATTATTTTCAATTTACCTGAATTTAATATTTAATCGAATATATTCATTATTTCAAAGGTATGGTGCATGTTTGGGTACGTATGTTGACTTATTATTATATCAGATAACATTCTGACAGTCCACAGCTCACTTACTTGTTAGCGATGTCCTCCCATATGCTGCCTTTCAGCTTATTGGTGACGGTAGAGCTGAATGAAGAATTCAGTGTCGTGTGGTGAACAGCCACCTCATCAACAAGGACAGCGATCTCGCTTGCTGTAAAATTGCTGCGACGAACACGTTTGACGCCGACAGAGGTCTGCAATTCGGCCTTTTTTCGACAATGCGTCGTCTGCATGACCAAGGGAGGCCACTCTTAGGGAAACTATTTCGTATCTTCATGGCTGAAGATTTCGATCTTTGCGAAGAACTTGTAAAGTTACAATCACCGCAAGATCGCTTTGAGGAACGGGCGTAAACTTTAGCTAAGCCGATTTTATAATCGACGTAAGTCTCTAAGATTGATTGTAGTTAAATGGCTTGTTACGGGTAACACGACACTGAACTAAGCTGGTTCACGGCTCCCTATGCGCGTCGTCAAGTTGCGCCAAGCTATATTGTGATATATTAGAGAGCCAGCTCAGACACTGAACACGATCGGTCATTTCTGCAGCAGTTACGAAAAGGGGCGAGGATTACCGAATACAGTTCATCGGTGGCCATTTTTAGGAGCAGCGGGGAATTTGACAGTTGTGTGGAATATGTGTTTGCCTTGCATGCCAGCAATAAGGCAGTGTGGCAAAGGGATATCCCAGCGGACCTGATATTCCTACAGAAGAAATGTTTCACAACCTCGTCAAAATTGGCCAAATATTGAGATTGCAGCTGAGGTCATGTTGGCAGCTGGAGGGACATATTCAGGTAAGAAATATGTGAATATTACAATGATGATAAAGTCATTTACCACCTGTAAGTGTAAGCCACTCACTTGTGACACATTAACTTTTATATTATAGTCTCGGTGTAAGTAAATGTGTTGTTTTATTTTTATAGGACAAGTAGCCTGTCTACCATATGTTAGTATTTGCTTATGTATATGATGTAGAAATATGTGGGTGCAGGCTAAAACGGCACCTCAGCAAAACGTCACTGATTTCTCTGGCGAAAACGGCACCGCATTTGGCGAAAACGGCTACTAGGCTACTATGTGTCGGGCGAAAACGGCACCTCTATTTTCAATAATGATAAGAACGATTTTTGTGGTAATATATATGGTTTATTTACATGGTCACAGTTATCACAGCATGTTGTTGTTTTCTGACATTCTTCTCTCATGCAACACATCGAAAGGCCATTGTGAATAATTGTGATCTGACAGGACCATGTTTGGCCTCTAAATACAGTTTCAGTTTAAATTGAGTAAAGGTACTTAACACTTCAAAGCTTATAGTGTTTTCACATTAAGTTAACTGCGCCTCCCAATCAGTTGGCGAGTAAATTGGAGTAGGGGTCTAATTTCGTACTTGTTTTATTTCACAATTTCACGATTATTTGTGTTTGTAAAGACGACGTGAGTTTAATTTCTATTATTTTTCTTCAAAGCATGTCATGTTTTCACAATATGTTGTGTTGTGTGTAACCTAAGTTGGATTATAGTTGGAGTAGAGGCTAATTTCTAATGTAAACTTGTTTTAGCATCTCACAATTATATTGGTGTTTGCAAGTTACCGTATAAGTTTAATAGCTCTTTTTTGACGAAGGTAAAAAAAAAATAAGGTGCCGTTTTCGCCAGGCAATAGTAGCCGTTTTCGCTTGAGTCGAGGTGCCGTTTTCGCCAATCGGTGCCGTTTTCGCCCGGTGACGTTTTGCTGAGGTGCCGTTTTCGCTATAACCCGAAATATGTTTTACTTTAACTGGATACGCTAATGTGACTCATTGTCTTATTTCATACTCTCTTTACTCTGTGAGAATGATTAATAGCCTAAACTCTTTTTCCAGATGTGAAGATACAAAGAACAAATTTAATGACAGGGAAGTTTTGAATCAGTGATCATTGTGAAGTGGAAGATAAGACATTTTAAGGGTATGAACATTTTCATTTTCAGTTGAACTAGTAGAATAATAACCATGATGACAACTTTATCATGTGGAAATATTTGGTGGTGGGGTATCCTAGTGGTTAAAGTGTTCACTCTTCGTGCTGAAGACCCAGGTTTGATTCCTGCCACATGGCTGCGATATTGCTGAGTGCAGTGTTAGACATCAAACAAAGCTAACAGCCGCATACATACTCATGTGGGGATTCCAGGTTGAAATTGGTCCCCATGAACATGATCATCCTATGCTAGTTGTAAGAGATAACTTAATGGATCGGTTAATCAGGCTCTCAGACTTGATCCATGTCATTGTATCCCAATTGTGTGGATCGATGCTCATGATGTCAATCACTGGATTGTCTGGTCCAGACATGTTTATTTACAGACCGCCATCATATAGCTGGAATATGGCTGCGTGTTGAGTTAAACAACAAACACCAACATGATTCTACTACCTGCTCTTGTGTATACCATTTTGAGGATCCTACACATTGCTTCTTTTCAAGTCGTAACTATTGCAACAATATGTTCTACTGCATGTGTTTTAAACATATATATTTCATAATGAACTAGATTTGCAAACAAGCCGATGGGTTATCTAAATGCTGCTCAAATACAAAATAAGTATTCATAAAATACTAATTCTATACTAATGCAATACTATCATTTGAGCAATAATGTAATCATTTGATTTAGATAGTTGAAGGAGAAGTCCATATTGATTAATTAAATCTACCAAATTCTGAGATAAATGCATGTATTGATTGAATTATTTCAGTGTTTTCCTGTACATAAGTTTCAACATTACCATATAAAGCTTTCTTATATCATATCCATGCCATATAATAATACATATTATGTCTAATAATGGCATAATTTGGAAAGTAAAGAATGGTATTTTAATAAAAGGTGCCACAAGTGCGGGATAGGTCATTTGACATGATTCAGTTTTATGTGAATTTAAATTACTACAAGCTAATCTGAGTCATGAAAGGATATGACTTTGATTCTGTGAAAATGAAAATGCTAAAACATCTCCCGATATTAACCTTGCTATTACAGAATCTGTTCACTTGTTATTGTATGTAAAATATTTTTGAACAATTACATCAATCTAATGATTGTTTGTATGTGTGATATGCCGGTATGTGTGTACAAGCGTGTACATATGCATATAAAAATTATGTATGTCTGGCTATGTACCAGTATATGCATGTGTGTTTTTATGTGCGCCTTGTATATTAGCATCATGATAGTTTCAACAATAGGTACACTTAATCTAAACTTATGGTTTTGTGTACAGTTTATGTATATCAAATGTTAAATGTCCTTGTTGGGAGAATTGCATATCAAAACTGTCATTATTTTATATCTGATAAGTAGAACTTTTTAAGTAGAAAAAACTATAATCTGGCAAGATACATTTCCATAGTAAACTGATTGATAAGTAGCATAGCAGTCAGTGTGGTTGGAAACTAACTAAGCCGTCACTACTCAATTAAGTAATTAACAGACAATTGCAAGTGATAATACCCACCCGACACTAATCAGTGGGGCCACTCGTATGCGTGACGGCCTGTCAGTGGACCATGGATTTCCGCATGTTGCCCAAAAATGTCTCTACAAGCGTTATTTGTGAAAATAATAAAACAAAATTATGTACAGTTATTGATCATTCTACTAGTTATCGAATGACATGAAAAAAATGTCATAAGAAAAATAATAAACGGTCAAATTGGGAGAAAAATGTGGAAAAATCGAGCAAAATGTTCTGTTTTTGACAGCAATTTTCTCCTATGTACATATTTTTCAGAAACTAACACATAGTATTTTCTAAAAGCTTATTCATCGTAGAGTTACAAAATATATAAATTATCTCACGCACACCAACGCACACCCATTTTCCATCGCGTTGAAACATGTTTACTTTCTTCGAAACTGCGCGAACCGTCTCGCGTACAAGTGACTGGCCGACAAGCGGATAAAGGGAGGTAACCGATGCCTGACTAAAATGTTCAATCGGAACATGCGTCTTGTTATCTGGTTACGCTAAATGTGTCTGAAACAGAATGAAGCGTGTATATATGCACGATATTTATTTAGCCCGTAGTTTCGTGGTTAGAACAAGGAGGAAATGTATTTTGATCACGTATTAGGAAAACAGTTTTGCAGTGGGTAATATATTTTTAGGTGGAAGTAAAATTGTTGGAAAACAAAGTATTTCTGTGAAATAATGAGTAATGCTTGGTATCGAACAACATAAAATATTGAAAAGTAAATTAAAGAGTCAAATTTGTCGATTTTGGACAGTGATTTTCTACTATGTGCATATTTTTCAGAAACATAATTTCAGTATTTTCTTAAAGCTTATTCGTCGTAGTGTAACAACATATCTATACTTTTTCGGGCACATCAACGCACACCTATGTGCCAGCGCGTTGAAACATATCTACTTTCCTCAAACTGCTCGACGCTGCTAAACAAGTCGTCCCACAGCCCCGTTACGCGTACGAGAGACGGCTCTCCGAACAAGCAGTGAAACACGGCCTGAGAGAGAGTCACTTGTAGGCGTGACTGCCTGTCGATGGATTACAGATGTCTGCATGTGACACGCAAAAAAAACGTCTCTACACGCTTCCTATGTGATTATATAAACAAATATATGTGGTTGACTGTTAGATGCTTGTTATCGAACGATATAAAAGGTAAAAAAAATAAAGTAAAGGAGGCAAATTTTGAGAGAAATGTACGAAATTGTAGCCAAATTTGTCGATTTTGGACAGCGATTTTCTACTATGTGCATATTTTTCAGAAACATAATAATTTCAGTATTTTCTTAAAGCTTATTCGTCGTAGTGCAAAAAGTCCGACGTCAAGTGACGTATAACGTCATGTGCAGTGCAAGGCTATTTTGAAAACATTAGCATCTCAATATGGGTAAACAAATTACCCATTAGTCAATACGTATGCCAGTTGGCGTTTAGACGGAGCCCAGTAGAGACATTTGTCATATAGTATATCCTCAATTTTCATTTCATATCGCATGTATTTGGTGCAAATCGAGCCCTGATTTAGCATGTCAATAATTTGACCCAAGAGTCAAGGCTTGTCTTGCTGTGTCAATGTCAATTCTTAATGTATATTCTTACCCAGGACTGCCTAGATAACACACTATTATTATATTAGCATGTCAGTATTTATTATTAATTAATAATATGTATGGGCTTGTCTTGCATACTAGGGAAAACGTCAGTAGTATTTTGTACATGGGCTTGCATGCCGTTGCATGCTCTTAGTCCCGACTCGAATACTGGGGAAATAGTCTGGTTAGATTTAGACATACACACACGAATACGTCAGTGTAGTATTTTGTGCAAGGGCTTGCCTCGAGCTGTTAGTCCCGGCTCGTATACTGGGGTAATAGTCGAGTTAGATTTAGACATACAAATACGTCAGTGTAGTATTTTGTGCAAGGGCTTGCCTTGAGCTGTTAGTCCCGGCTCGAATACTGGGATAATAGTCGGGTTAGATACACAAACAAATACGTCAGTGTAGTATTTGGTGCATGGGCTTGCCTTGAGCTGTTAGTCCCGGCTCGAATACTGGGGAAATAGTCGGATAGATTTAGACACACACGAATACGTCAGTAGTATTTTGTGCATGGGCTTGCCTCGAGCTGTTAGTCCCGGCTCGAATACTGGGGAAATAGTCTGATAGATTTAGACACACACGGATACGTCAATAGTATTTTGTGCATGGGCTTGCCTCGAGCTGTTAGTCCCGGCTCAAATACTGGGGAAATAGTCGGGTTAGATTTAGACATACACACACACGAATACTTCAGTGTAGTATTTGGTGCATGGGCTTGCCTTGAGCTGTTAGTCCCGGCTCGAATACTGGGGAAATAGTCGGGTTAGATTTAGACATACACACACACGAATACGTCAGTGTAGTATTTGGTGCATGGGCTTGCCTTGAGCTGTTAGTCCCGGCTCGAATACTGGGATAATAGTCGGGTTAGATACACACACGAATACGTCAGTGTAGTATTTGGTGCATGGGCTTGCCTTGAGCTGTTAGTCCCGGCTCGAATACTGGGGAAATAGTCGGGTTAGATTTAGACATACACACACATGAATAGGTCAGTGTAGTATTTGGTGCATGGGCTTGCCTTGAGCTGTTAGTCCCGGCTCAAATACTGGGGAAATAGTCGGGTTAGATTTAGACATACACACACATGAATAGGTCAGTGTAGTATTTGGTGCATGGGCTTGCCTTGAGCTGTTAGTCCCGGCTCGAATACTGGGGAAATAGTCGGGTTAGATTTAGACATACACACACATGAATACGTCAGTGTAGTATTTGGTGCATGGGCTTGCCTTGAGCTGTTAGTCCCGGCTCGAATACTGGGATAATAGTCGGGTTAGATACACACACGAATACGTCAGTGTAGTATTTGGTGCATGGGCTTGCCTCGAGCTGTTAGTCCCGGCTCGAATACTGGGGAAATAGTCGGGTTAGATTTAGACATACACACACACGAATACGTCAGTGTAGTATTTGGTGCATGGGCTTGCCTTGAGCTGTTAGTCCCAACTCGAATACTGGGGAAATAGTCGGGTTAGATTTAGACATACACACACACACGAATACGTCAGTGTAGTATTTCGTGCATGGGCTTGCCTTGAGCTGTTAGTCCCGGCTCGAATACTGGGATAATAGTCGGGTTAGATACACACACGAATGCGTCAGTGTAGTATTTGGTGCATGGGCTTGCCTCGAGCTGTTAGTCCCGGCTCGAATACTGGGGAAATAGTCGGGTTAGATTTAGACATACACACACACGAATACGTCAGTGTAGTATTTGGTGCATGGGCTTGCCTTGAGCTGTTAGTCCCAACTCGAATACTGGGGAAATAGTCGGGTTAGATTTAGACATACACACACACACGAATACGTCAGTGTAGTATTTCGTGCATGGGCTTGCCTTGAGCTGTTAGTCCCGGCTCGAATACTGGGATAATAGTCGGGTTAGATACACACACGAATGCGTCAGTGTAGTATTTGGTGCATGGGCTTGCCTTGAGCTGTTAGGCCCGGCTCGAATACTGGGATAATAGTCGGGTTAGATACACACACGAATACGTCAGTGTAGTATCTGGTGCATGGGCTTGCCTCGAGCTGTTAGTCCCGGCTCGAATACTGGGGAAATAGTCGGGTTAGATTTAGACATACACACACACGAATACGTCAGTGTAGTATTTGGTGCATGGGCTTGCCTTGAGCTGTTAGTCCCAACTCGAATACTGGGATAATAGTCGGGTTAGATACACACACGAATACGTCAGTGTAGTATTTTGTGCATGGGCTTGCCTTGAGCTGTTAGTCCCGGCTCGAATACTGGGGAAATAGACGGGTTAGATACACACACGAATACGTCAGTGTAGTATTTGGTGCATGGGCTTGCCTTGAGCTGTTAGTCCCGGCTCGAATACTGGGGAAATAGTCGGGTTAGATTTAGACATACACACACGAATACGTCAGTGTAGTATTTTGTGCATGGGCTTGCCTCGAGCTGTTAGTCCCAGCTCAAATACTGGGGAAATAGTCGGGTTAGATACAAACACGAATACGTCAGTGTAGTATTTGGTGCATGGGCTTGCTTTGAGCTGTTAGTCACGGCTCAAATACTGGGGAAATAGTCGGGTTAGATACACACACGAATACGTCAGTGTAGTATTTGGTGCATGGGCTTGCCTTGAGCTGTTAGTTGCGGCTCGAATACTGGGGTAATATACGGGTTAGACATACACACGAATACGTCAGTGTAATATTTTGTGCATGGGCTTGCCTTGAGCTGTTAGTCCCGGCTCGAATACTGGGATAATAGTCGGGTTCGTTAGATACACACACAAATACGTCAGTGTAGTATTTTGTGCATGGGCTTGCCTCGAGCTGCTAGTCCCGGCTCGAATACTGGGGAAATAGTCGGATAGATGTAGACACACACCGAATACGTCAGTGTGGTATTTGGTGCATGGGCTTGCCTCGAGCTGTTAGTCCCGGCTCGAATACTGGGGAAATAGTCGGATAGATTTAGACACACATGAATACGTCAGTAGTATTTTGTGCATGGGCTTGCCTTGAGCTGTTAGTCCCAGCTCGAATACTGGGGAAATAGTCGGATAGATTAAGACACACACGAATACGTCAGTAGTATTTTGTGCATGGGCTTGCCTCGAGCTGTTAGTCGCAGCTTGAATACTGGGGTAATATACGGGTTAGACATACACACGAATACGTCAGTGTAATATTTTGTGCATGGGCTTGCCCCGAGCTCGAATACCCCCGCTCGAATACTAGGGAAATAGTCGAGCCCACTTATACATACACACGAAAATGCTTTGTGCAGTATATTGTGCATGTTAGCTCCGACTCGGAAGTCTTGGTTTTAAACTCGAATATGATATCGTGCCTTGACACGTGTCTGCTATTAGGTTTTGATATATTTGATTTATTGATCTGTCAGTACTGACTCCCGAATTGTTTACTACTTGGCTGATGTTTGATGTTTTTTATTTCTTTATTTTTCAGACGACCCACATTCGACCCACCTTAAACCTACTTTCAACTCGTTGGTGAGTATGGAATTTCACGTTCACAGTTTAGCTACACTCTGCCGTGTATGTGGCAACAATGCTTTACCGTACGGGTCCGACAAAAATTTATTTGCCGATCAATTCCAAGAACTGTTTGGAGTTACATTGGCTGATGACCATCCCAACTTAGTGTGTAAGGCGCATAAACTTCTCTTCAACAGAGCAACACAATCAGCAAATCCATATCGCACCCCGACAAAACTTGTCAATTTTCAACCCCATGACATGCAAGAAGATTGTCCGGTATGTACGGGGAACAATGCGCCACATGGTCGTCCACCGAAGGCTTCACCCACACCTGACATCACATCCATACTTCGTGATATATTTTGTCTTGACATACAGGTGCGTCATCAGTTCTTTGAAAGTCTAGTTCCTGCGATTTCAGCAAATGATAGAGAGCAAATTGCTAAGTGTTTGGGTACGTTCATAAAAAAAGACATTGAGAGCGATGCCATGTCGTTTGCTAACCAGTACAAAGACAGGACCTTTTTGGCCAATGTAAACACAAGAAAATGGATAGGGGACAGAAACCCAATATTGGTATCTTTTTTGGAAACCGCAATTGACGCCAACAAAACAAACTTATTTTTGACAGCAATGGCAGTAGAACAAATTTATAAACTTTACGTGCCCAGTTTGATCTTCCCCTTCTCCTTCTTACAAAATTTGACTGTTTATACAGTGACGGGCAGTCGCCTTGCGGTAGATGTCATAGGGCATGGAGGTCCAGCTGGTTGCTACCAGATGGTGCAACAGTGGTTCAAAGAGCATGGATCGGGTATCCAGCTGGTGCCCGATGGTGCCGTAGTGAATGTGTTCGACAATGAGCAAGTCATCGGGAAAAAAAATAGGATAGCTCCTAATCAGGCCACTCCACTATCCGTAATCACCAACAAGGGCTATGTCTTACTGGATGCCACCTCCACTATTCAGAATGACCCAACTTTGAAGCCCCAGACAGTCAACCCGTCCCACCACAGTTTGGAACCAGATGCTCGCAAACGCATTTGCGATTCCATCAATGACATTGCCTCCTCATCCAATCCGCTAAACAGGGAATACGAGTTGTTTCACGGGGAACAACTTCATTTGTTTATAGATAAGGCAATCAAGGTAGTTAAAAAGGAACACGGGAGTAATGGGGATTTTATAGACGTAGCGTTAGAGAAGATTTTACCAGAGAAACAGGTCGTTTGTGAGGGATGCGGGGTTCGAAATTCATCGAGGAAACAGATATGTGTAGGGTGTGGTGATAGGGAGGGATTACGAAGGGGCAAAGAAACTTCCAAAAACGCTAAGGTCCCATCAAACCATAAATAACCAACGGAAATAACTCTCAACATTACAAATTCCGATTCCTGCACGGTTGTTACTGAGGATGAGAGATACGGCCACGTACCATCCGGGCACACAACCACGCACAACATCGTGCTCACTGACCCAGTATACATGAACCCCAATAGCACGGAGACAGTCAGGGAAGTGTTGAGGCAAATAGGTAGGGAAAACGATGTAGTTCAGTACGGCAGGGGTAAGAGGCATTGGACTGTGGTATGTTGTGATGGTTTGCTCTGCTCTATCATAAAGAAATTGAAGGATGAAGCTTGTGTGTGCCAGGTCTGTCACAACAGTTTCATAAACAAAAAGTCTTTCGAAACGCACAAAACATCCTGTGTAGACGCATTCTCAAAACTAGAATTTGACTGGGTGTATCTGAAAATCGGTTCTGGACATTATGAGATGAATCTCATCAAATCTTTCTTCGAGCTAAATTGGACACCATTTTTTGGAGTATTTCTGTGAGATAATGGGGTTTGAAACTGAGGTAGCAAAAAAAACAGCCAAAAACGCAAACGACCATCACAAAAGTTGGGCCATGTTACTTGCATTCCATCTGGGCACTCTCCGTGAGCTCGTCACCCCCTATGTTACTTCAGAATCCGCACCCCATTCGGCCGCAGGTTTCTTAAAATAAGCAAAGTCAAAATACACTTCCCCAAATGCGAGCTACCTTTTGGACCAAGTGTTTAGGTATTCGCAAGGGATAATCAACTTTCGAATGGCAGTTCGCAGGAATAACCACCCCCTTCTTCATAGCGCCAAATTTATGACAAAAGAGTTGTTCCATGGTAGGAACCACCCAAAATATAGGGACATAGAGGTGTTTGATGTAGTACAATACACGCACATGCCCCCGGAAGTCAAAGATTTGTTTGATAGGTTTAACTCCATTACAACCAGCGGCCATCCATCTTTGGGGGAGTGCTTCGACTTCGTTTTAGAAGAAAAAAAAAGACGAGTCAAAGATCTTATTCCGAAGGGCATGCCGACTGACGACATTTGGCTGATGGCATGTCGCAAAGAGGCGCTATTAACCGAGATTCGGGACAAGACGCTGGCGGAGATTGGCATGTCCCAAACTGGCACTCGGCTCAGACCGCTCAACGTAGAGGACGCCATTGCTTCTTGGCGGCTCCGTCTGCGACAAAGCGAGTATATTGAGGGCACTGAGGTGCATACAAGCATGACCGGCTGTGCCCTCGATCCCTACTTGGTGGATTTCATCGAACAAGCAAACCTGAGGCGGCAGTATTACATTAAGGTGAAAATATTGGGATATACTGCCCCAGCTCAGACAGCCAGTGTTTATTGCTGGCGATGAAAGGATTCTGCACTCCGGGCCAGAATCATTGACAATACGGGATTTACAGCGAGAAATTAAACAATAAATGCCTCGTCTGACCCAGTCACACCGTGCGGCCTTGGAACAGCGACTTAAGGCTAGGGGGCAGAAGAAGGAGATATATCTCACTATATACAGTGAGATTCATGCCCTACTATAACATATAATGCTTTGTTCTTTTTTCCAGCTGCATGTAATATAATTATATGGTAAATAAAGCTTCGTTTTCATGTTCAAGATGTCTGTCTTTTTGTTTATATCAATAACATGTACATATGTATATATTAGTACATTAATGTTTTTAATCACCCTGTTCAAGCCCGGATTGATGATCCCATATCCCCTGATTGGGCTCAAGCATTCGCATTATAGCTCAAAACATTTTAAAAAGAAATTTGGTTTCTTTTAATCTCGGACCGGGATCCCCATTGAATGTGGGAAATCCTGTATGAAAGGGTATGGGTGCATCGTGCTAAGGGACCCTGATCTGTCGATATTCGTACATTTCGAATTGATAAAGCTCAATTATATAATGTCTTATGATAGAATATAACAAATCTTATTGGAATGCTGGATTTCACATCCCTTCACAACCTCCTAATTCCGTTGTATTACTCACTTATAGATAATGGACAGTGATCACTCTCGTGTGAAGCCTGGTGTGAAAGTTGTCACCAAAGACGCCAGGCAGATGGAGAAAAATGCACAGAACGCCCTCAAACAGAGGAAATGGAGGACGATGAAGGCCATGGTCCGTGCCGCGGAAAAGCTCCAGAAAGAAGTCCCCGAAATGGAGTTTATCATTGTTCTATCATATCCAGGTAGTATGAAGTTTGCCGGCTCGGGAGCAATGCTCGATTGCTTCAAGAAAGGAGAGCCCTTGACAGTTGGTAAGCCAGCCGGTATCAATTACACCGCAGACACCCAAAGTGAAGTTGTAGATTTTCTATCAACACCACCCTTCGTGGAAGTGGCCACCCCAGAGTGTCTTGGGACAGCGACGACAGGGGAACAGCTACAGGAGATGTATAACAGCGTAAGACAACAGTAAGTATAAAGAGTCCAGTTACAACAGTACTTCAAGACAGGCGCGCAATGTCTGACCCTTTTCCCCACGTTGAAGCATATTGAAGAAAGCTAAGCACGACGTTGTGTCGTATGTACATGTCCGGTTTTCGATCAGAGCCTTCAGCATCATACATATGTACTGTATATTCTCTCGAAATTACGACAATTGCTTTGCATTTCTATCGGCCAGTCAGCCAACTAAAGGTACCTGAACATTTTTACTTTCAGATTAATACCTGATGTCCCACAGGGCGCCCAACTGGACGTGGATGATAACCCGTAAGTTTTGATAACCATTACCGTACATCGACATGACTTTAAACTGTTTTAACCAACCTTTCTCAGGCTATAATCATATCGTGTTGTCTGTTACAGTGAACCAGCAGCGAGGGAGCCTAAAAGAGTCAGAAAAGGTTGGTACTACTACCATTATTAGTTACTAGTTTGTTGGGTCCAGATATGGACTACGGCATCAATATAGCCAAACCACGTTTTCTATATTTTATTTTTTCTGTATATTTGCTATATATTTTGTTCTTTTCTTTTATAGCCCACGATATCGTCAGCTCAGCTGGGAACATCAGCGGCATAGAACCACTACGTGAGTAACCTTACATCCTCCTCACAATAACAATAACTCATACGTTAACATACGTTTAGCAGGTTATTCAACATTACAACACAACTTATTCTACAATGCCAATAATGCATTGCAGCCACCAGGACTACCAGAGGAAGAGCCGCTGCTCGGGACATCACAGCGGAAGTCCAAGCATCACGTGAGTACTTTCACACCACCACATTTCCCATGGTCCCTTTATTGTAAAACCTATTCATTTTCCTGTTAATACGAACGAAAGTGTGACTCTTTTAAAAAAAAATTCTACTAAGATAGTTACTAATGTCGACCCCTACGTGGATATCAGCTACATTCGATTCATACTAGAACATACATATTGGCAGGCTATTCATACAATACCCGTAATGCATTGCAGCCACCAGGACTACCAGGAGAGCCGCTGCTCGGGACGTCCAAGCATCACGTGAGTACTTTCACACCACCACATTTTCCACTGGTTTTGGTAATTTTTTTATATGTTATTTAAACATTTCCTTTTCCTTTTCTAAACAATTCACTTTCATATTTCAGAAACCCAGGATAATCCTGCCCGAGGGCCGACTGGATCCATGAGGTAAGTTAACAAGACATGAAAGTGATTATTTATTGCATCAGAAAAGATTTTTAACAAGATATATTTCATCTTAAATATTAATATTTATATATATATTAATGAATTATATGTGTTTCAGTGTCGCCAGCATACGACCCGAGGCATTCGTGTATGTCTCCCTGCCGACCCAGTCAAACAGGGCTGTGCCGTTTGTCTCGGAGGTTTGTTAACAAATTAGTTACCCGTCTATATAGCTTATCTAAATTTTCCGAAAATATTACATCGTCTTTACAATCATTACAACTAGATACCATTGTACGGCAAGTCTGTACATCGATTTCGACTTACCACTTACCACACCAAATCTTACCTGAAAAACATGTGCTGATTTTGTTCTTTACAGGTTACTTCAGAGAACCCACTCAGGGTGAAGTACCTTTAGCCCAACAAAGCGAAAGGATCCTGGAGGTTCCCAGAGCAGGGACAGGGACACAATCAACAGTGAAAGTATTATCAAGGTTTTGGCGGCACCAGAAACAAAGATTTCTGGTTCCCGTTTTTATGCAGAATTTAGAGACTTAATGTAGATTTTTGTATATGTGTTGTGTTGTAGATTTTTATATGTATTTTTGTTGTAGATTTGTATATATTGTAAACTCTGTAATCTAGATCTATTCATAAAAAAAACTGTAAAATTAAGCACTCGTGTATAATACGCACCCTTTTTTCTTATTATTTCAGATATACGGTATTAAATACGAAATACATTATACATGCTATATCACTGATTCTGTTTTCTGTTCTCGTGATTCACGACTATAATGTATTTGGTCTGCTGCCAATATACCGCCACAGTCATTCCACTCGTGATATGTGCCCCTCTCATGGTCATTTTGGCGAAAACGGGCAAACCCCAACTCGTTGAAATTTGGTTCACATATTTCCCCACTCGCCCCTTACAGTCTTACATTTAGTCGCAAGGAATGAGTGGTAACAAATGGTCGCGTTTGTTTTCTTACAGCGAGTATACTGCCACAGCCTAATTACTGTTCCTGTGTAATTGATGGTGTAATTTGAGGACAATGTGTCAACGCCCATTGCCTTCAATTGTTTATTGCCGCTTTGAACAGCCTCGCGTTTTGATAGGAAGATTGGTGGCACGTGAGCAGCTCCGCTCAGTGATCATCATCAACATTGTCATTGACAGAACCCAGTACATACACGTTTCATCCGCAAATTTGTTAGCCGGTCTCCGGTGTATTCATTGTCTGAGGTAGCTATAAGCTGGACAAATATGATCCCTCTTGATGATCACTCTCAAATGTGCGGGGTACGCAATATCTGGTACTGGTACCTTGGGTCACGTGTGCACTTTAACGCGGGATCATCGTGAATCTGTCCTTGGCAATATACAAGCCAGCGTAGGTTAACTAACTTTATGATATGCACAAATGGCAAAAATAATCACAAGATGCAAAGTAGCGTAATACCGTAGCACCTGAAAACAGTATTCACAAGTTCATTCAGTTCTTATAGATTTTATGATTTGCAGTGAACAACACTTTCTACACGTTTACACTATCATTCAACAAAAAGAAAATAAGGGACACGTTTTTTTTACTGCGCATAATATGATAAGGAACATGTACACACACTGACTACAAAAAACACCTCAATCTTGCGGTTTCTCCGATAGGTGACGCTGGGGCTCAGCGGGAATAGCGCTGAACCGCATTTAGGCGCATTAGTAAAAATGACATACAATTCGGGCTGGTGCCACTGGAGAAATGCTTTGTCATTTTTATTAATGCGCATTTTTATTAATCTCGTGACCGGTCATTGTTTTGTTGTTTCTCTGTATGCAAACTGCGCCCCGGCCTATTTAAACGCCAACTGTCTCACATTGGCTAATCCCCTTGTGACCGATCATTATACAACTGAATGGTGTTAAAATATGCACTCGTCTAAATACTATACATTATCATTGCTTTTTCAGTTCTGTTGATACACGAATGTAATTTATTTGGTCTGCTGTCAATACATCACCAGTTACAAAATATATATATATATGGGAGGGGACATAGCTATGTGTCTTATAGCTAATCACTGCTCCTGAGTAGTTCAGGGTGTAATTTGAGGACACGGTGCTATTGCTTATTGTCGTTTGACAGACGCGCGCATTTTGATAGGCAGATCGTTGACACGTGAGCAGCCAAGCGTATTAACAATCGTACTGTTGTTGCTAGTACACACGGGTTTTCGCTGTACCCGTTATTTAGTACTCTATTGTGTCCAGCTCGAAGCTGAACAAATTAACTTAATCAATAGTGTTATTCACTTAAGAATCAATACTGCTATCCCATCGACTGAATTTATGATTTTCTAATTGCCCTGTTAATCCCTAATCCACAATGAGTTGACATTGAGTTCATCTTTCTAATGAGCTGTTGTGAGCGTAGCAAGATGATAAACACCAAAGGTGGGTCAGGCTTTGATCATGTGTTCTGTAGAAGAGATGAGGTGAGGTGAAATTGGGTTTAACGTCGCGTCCAAGATTATTGCACTTATATAGCGATGTGCATGTACATGTGTGTGTGTGTGGCTGCTTGTACTAGTCCAGACTGATGCCGATGTATAGTGCTAGCACACTGAGATACCATGCCGCAGTTTAACATGAATACCCCACTCATACTGACTCCGAGCCAACCAGTCCTTGTTTTATCCCCTTAATGCTGAACGCCAGACAGGGTAACAACAAGTACCATCTTTCAAAGTCTTTTGGTATGACACGGCCGGGGATCGAACCCTGGACCTTCCGATCTCCGGGCGGATACTCTACCTCTAGACAACGGAGGTGGTCGTAGAAGAGATGATGTCACTTGTTTAATGTTTATTCAGGATTAGCTACATCCCTGGAGATCTTCAGCAACCCATGCTTGCCGTAAAAGGCGACTATGCTTGTCGTAAAAGGCGACTAACGGGATCTGGTGGTCAGGCTCGCTGACTTGATTGAGGCATGTCATCGATCCCGATTGCGTGGATCGATGCTCATGATATTAATCACTGGATTGTCTGGTCCAGACTCGATTATTTACAGACCGCCGTCATATAGCTGGAATATTGCTGAGTGCGGCGTTAAACAACAAACCAACCAACCTACATCCCTTGATGCTACCAAGGGTGCCCTTGAGATTATCAGACAGTTTGTCTGGATACAACCTGATGTCTCAACTGTACTTGATTGGATTCTCCCTTGTAGCAAACTATGTGTGTGACAAGGACTTTGACCACTCTGTGCAGATGCATAACAATGCATAAAGAATTTTGGGTATGATTCAATTATGTCACGCAAGTCAAAGTTGGGTTCCACTGTATTTAGAAACAGATGATAGATCCAATACTGTTTAACTTTATAACAATCAAATGAGTATTCGAATAGGAAATATACACATATATTTACAATTACCCTTGAAAAGTTCCAAAACCGATTAGAACGACTTTAATTATGATTACCCTTTGCCAGAACAATATATTTGGCAGTTTTTCCTGTTATTGTTAATCTTCATTCAATTAATTCTCAAAAACGATAGGATAAATGATAAAAATATGATGATGGTTTTACTCATGAATATTGCCAGTAGCCGAAACAAACAGGGAATATGACAGTCTCTAGGGGAGGTTTATGAAAAATGGATAATAAAATGTAAAGTGCTTTGCATTTTTCCTTTTCAGGGAGAGTCGTGTAAAAAATGTATAAGAACATACCAGTACATGACCGGTCCCTTAAATGTAATATACATAGTTGATAGTTGATGGTTCAGGTGGTTCTTTTCAGTTGAATTTTTTTTATCAGTGTCTATTTTGGCCTACCAATTAATGGTAGATATTAAATATCAATAATAAGTGAGATAATTATTTCCAATGTGGCTCCCACTGCAACTAAAGCAATTAACGATTCAAATTAAACTTGATTCAGCTGCTACATTGAAATGTATTTCAATACATCAGTAATTCAATCAGTTCTATAGTGACTTAATATTTGGCGAAAATATCTGTTGTATGAAATCCTAATGTTACTTTCTTTTGTATTTGGGATGATAGGGTAGCGTAGAGGGTAAAGCGTTCTCCGAAGCCTCAGGTTCTATTCCCCACATCGGTACTGTGTGAAAAGCCTATTTCTGGTGTCCCCGCAGAGATATTGCTGGAATATTGCTAAAAACCGTGTAAAACTATACTAACTTGCTCACTCATTATATAGTATTTTGAGAATGCTTACATGACTTGTATGATTGAAAGTTTTGATAATTATAAATAGTTCTGTTTTTATGTATAAGAAACTATTTTATGCGATTTTGCATTGCCTTGTTTACCCTTCCTTTTTGATGTAATGCAAACATTTAAGAAAAATTCAGGTGAGCCTTGTTGCACTAAAGGAATTGTTTTCAGAAGATCAGATATAATTTTGTATTTTCAGTAAAATGTACAGTATGCTATGGCTTGTTTACATGTTCTGAGTTTGGTTAACATGGTTAAATATCATTTGCTTGATAAATTGTCATTACCTTACAAAAAACAAATTTTTACCATTTGTCAATATATGTGTGTTTCTTATTTTTTTAATAACAAGCTTTTAAAGATGTTATAAATTGTTTCAGGTACCTGGATTTCACTGTGACACCAGCTCAGACAAGCCATACAAAGGACTCACCGGATGATGAATAATCCTTCCCAGAACAACCAACAGGTTCACCTCAGAAAGTGATGATCCTTAATGAATAATGCCACATTAGTGTGATTCTGTAGATTGTTTTATTACGACACCAATCAAGTCTGAAGGAATTAATACCACAGCAGTGTGACTATGTTTATGTGGTGTACACAGTACACCAACGCTGACTATACAAATCTGAAGGACTTTTGTGGTTTACTGCACAAACATAATTGACTTTACATATTCTTCTACCTTGGAATTCTTCTGAGATTTGACTAATTTGTTTATTTAGAAAATGGCATTGAAGCATCTGTTTCTGTTTGTGAAAGTTCTTGCAAACACCACTGCTTTCTGAACCAGTGAAATGTCATAAAATCAATAAATATGACTTTTTATCTAAACAAATTCTTTGTTTTGCTTCATTAGCATAAAAAAATATGATACTGATCAGCCATAACATAGGTGCTGAACATATATCAAATATACTAATGCCCTGAATGTTTTCCTACAATTAATACAGCTAACTGAACAAAGTTTTTAGTTCCATGTCAGTAGAAAAATTACATTGATATTTTTATGTACCGGTACTTTATTAGGTGTTTTCTGTGGATGCCATTAGTCTTATGCATTTGGGGCAATTATATTCTGTTTCAAACTTCATTGGAACTCGTCTGTCTAGATGTAACAAGTACTGATACCGTAACAAAATAATCTTTTAATCTCACCAGGAACAAAGGCCTAAGTGAGCACATAGCCAATGAATTTCAGTTTTTTGTCAGAGTGAGTATGGTGTTATGCCACTTTGAGCAATATTCCAACAACATCATGATTGGTGACCCAAGCAATAGGCTTCACACCTTGTACCGATGTGGTGAATTGAACGCTTCAACCACTAGGCTAGAACAAACTGGGAATATGAAGATAAAAAGTAAGGATATCATAATACCAGGACTGATAGTTTTTCATTAAATATGATAAACGTCTAAAATGAAATATATATGAAATTGAAAAATGTTTTCACCAAAAGTACGTGCCCATAGATTTCAACTTTAAGGGGGATATTTACCACTGAAAATAACACAGAATATTACTCCAGCTATCTGATATGACCAAGCTAACATTATTTACTGGAAAAAAGACATCTCGAAAAATTGCATCCGGATACCTTCCAGATACCTTCAGCAATGTTCAATTTCCTTGGTTAGTTTCAAATATATTTTTAGGTGTTTCACACTTAATTGAACAAAATGCACCCCCCAAATTGTGACATTTTAAAAAAAACTCCGCGGGGGCATCCGGTGCCGGATCCTTGGACACCCAGATTGAGGTATCCAGTGAGGTATCTGGTGCCAGATACCAGGATTCCAGGAGGCATGCTTTCCGGTGAGGTGTCCAATGCCGGATACCACGGATCTGGTATCCGGCAAGGTACGAGTATCTGCCAACGGATACCCGGATGCGTTTTGGGTAAGTGTCCGGAGGTAGCCGGAAGGGATCCGGATACCGGAAACTGCATTTTTTCGCTGTAAGCTGCATGGCTAAGCACCTTTGACTATTGTAATATTGAGAGATTGACCTCTCGAGGTCTGCGTGCAGTATATTTATAGTTCTGTCAGGAGCTTTTGTCTTTACCCTCTCTCCCTACCCCCAGGATTCGTTAGGCTGTGTGCTGCGGGGTGGTCTCGTTTGATACCGAGGTTTCGATTAAGTGGTTTCGGGACACACTTCAATCTTCTATTGACCTACTCAGGTTGTATTGAGCTAAACTTAGTAGCTAGGGTTTGCAATCCTCCGTTTGTCTAGTAATCCCTGGATAACTAACCTTCCCATGATGACCCGTGAAGATTCCGGGGTAGAATAGGTCTTCAGCAACCCATGCTTGTCGTAAAAGGCGACTATGCTATGCGTAAAAGGCTACTAACGGGATCGGGTGGTCATGCTCGCTGACATGGTTGATGCATGTCATCGATCCCAATTGCGTGGATCGATGCTCATGATGTCAATCACTGGATTGTCTGGTCCAGACTCAATTATTTACAGACCGCCGTCATATAGCTGGAATATTGGTGAGTGCAGCGTTAAACAACAAACAAACAAACATACCTTCCCATGATTGTCTAGCTATTTGGACAGTAGAACATGGATATAATGAACTACAAGGGACAAGGGAAAACAAACACAATACACGTAATTACAGCATTGCAATTGAAGTGACCCTTTGACATCATGTCGTGAAATTTATGTTTGTCTCACAGACAAGATAAGTCCGGTTACAGGTAAGATTAGCATGGTTAAGTTAAGTTCAACAAGTTTGAATCGTCACCGCTGATTGTGTTGATCCGCCACTGATTGCGTATAGCCAATTGTCAGTGACACTTAACACTGAGTGAAATTTCTCAGTTCACTTTCCCACGTCACTAATTAGTGATATTTGGGCTTGTCGGGGATCAGATATCAGTTTGCTATATATTAGTTCGCTGTAGAGAGTGTGTCATATATGCACATTTTATATGATAATAACGGGAGATCAATCGGGGATTTTGTATGGTTGTATCCATTTGTTCGCTCTATCCATTGGTAATCACATCGTACCAGCAGGCTCATTGCCAGTGAATCTACTGGTTAATGTTGAACCACATCCTAGATCGGAGTTGTCATCTTGCTTCGTTATCTGTCTGCTGTGGAAAGGAAAATGTAAACATTGGCAGCCATATCGACAGCTTTCACGTGTGAGTAATCGTGATGTAGGTCAAGTTCTGTCACATCCAAGTTCAGGGTGGAGAGTCGTTTATTTTATTTTTTTATTATTTACTTGGGGTAATTGCTGACTTACTAATAAGACTTACACATGCAAAATATATTGTAGAATGTTAATTAATAAAGTTTGTTGTAGAAATATATTCGTTTAGCATTTTAAAATCTATTTGTACGACCTGTCACCCATACAATGGAAATGGCATTTTCGATTTCCAAGAAATGAACTCCAAACAATGGTTACCAAGAAATGACTGGGTCAAGCCGAACGGTGCACAGGAGGTTGGTAGAAATTAAACATCTGTCGTAGGACTAAGTTTGGAGGGTTATTTGTTAACTTCGTTTTGAAAAACTATGTGTTTTGAACACTTATTTTGAGCTACTCAAGACTTTGGTGTTTTTAATCTTGAACTTTAGTTATATTTGTTACATATATAACTACCTGTGACCACTTGTCGGAATGTTCTAAGATTGCGGACTTTTGTACCCTGTGTTTGTTACGCGTTGCAAGAGAGCACCGTTTTCAAAGCGTTGTTGCCGTCATGGTAGAATTGAGATAAACTTACTGTGTTTTGAAATTTGATGTAGTCCCACTGTAGAGAGCTCGGTTTCAAATTAAAATAAGAAGTATCCGCTCCACAGTGGGACTACATCAACTTTCAAAACACAGTAGGTTTACCTCCTCATTAGAGTGTTGTTATAGCTGCTCTCATTTTACTGGCCACTTGTGTATTAGCTCTGATATTAATCAGTGATCTTTGTCAGCGCAGATTGATCTTTCATTGTCATCTGTTAGTACAATTAGCTATTATTGGCTCGTGACATTAGTTATCAGTTGGACCAGGGCTAACCCGCTAGATTCACTTCTTTTTCATACTGCCTGTGTTGACTAAGATGAGTTGTTTCGGGCTCCCTGCCTACTGGAGAGGATGTTCGATCCCTTGTCTGATAGCCTTCCGGGTTCAGGAGCATGACCTAGCGCTCAGTCTTTGCTGACTGGCGGTGGATCAGGCCGACAGTATTGACGTGGATCGGATGTTGGCTAACATGTTACAGATTGCTGGACTGCATGGGTATTGACCGGCAGTATTTATTAGCGATCGGGTGCAAGAAAATGACGGTTGTCGGACTGCCAATGTTGACGTAGATAGGCTGAATCACCGGCCATATCTATTATGCCATACCCAGAAGCAGGTTACTGAGTTATTCGAGGAAAGTGACGACGGTTCAAGGTTATTTCCTCATGTGTTTGTGCACAATAGAGCAGCGTGTCGCTGATAATCGCGTGAACGGACACGCTATACAGCTGCTTGGTCGTTTTATTTAGTATTCAGTCACCATGGTAGAAACGGCTTTATCGCATTGTTTTGAAGTAAATTTAACATATGGCAGTGTCGGTTGTACATTGAAATATACTATGTTTAAAAGTCATTCCAGTTTAGTTCTCGGCCTGGAGTGGGAGCAATATCCAAATACTCCCGTTAATGTTCATGTTTACTTCTTGTTTTTGTAACTGAACGAAAATAGTACAATATGTCATCTCCCGATGGAATGGAAGAGATCTGAGGTTAATCGGCAAGTTGCTAATGAAACGAAGAAGAGGCAATTGTATCAAACCCTTTCATCGGGAGGACATTGTAGTCGGTTTACTGATGATAGCAATCACTATTTTGACTATCGTTAATGCAGTAATTTTTTCCAATTGGAAAAGAAACAATTCACAGGAAATAGATAGTGAAGTATTTTTTGACGACCATCCTATTGAACCAACCTTCAGTCTACAGTCTATCAACGCTTCTTCACAGTGCCCGACCACACAGTCTGTCTTATCCTATTTTACACGAGCGATCGTTTGTCGTGCGAAAATCGCACTGCAGTTGACGTGAGGCAGTTTCTGAATGAGAAACCAGCAATGAAAGTTATAACGCTTACTCAGGGCAAATGGAAAATTATGTTACGCCTGAAACCTTTCATCCGTGCACAAATCAGGTCAATGAATGAACGGGCAATTAATATACGGTCGCTGCCTGAACGGTGAAGAATGTAAATTTTATTTTTATTTTTTGGCTATCAACAATCGACTAAAAGACGATGAAAAGAAGAAAAAGAAAGTTTAATACATTCATCAATGAAAACCTACATGTTTACGATGTTTAGACGAACAAGCATGCATCACTGAAGACCAAGTCCAACCCGGATCTTCACAGGTGTTTTGAAAATGCACTTCCAAAGAGGATCTCACAGCCCACGACCCGTGAAGATCCGGGGTAGAATAGGTCTTCAGCAACCCATGCTTGTCGGAAAATGCGACTATGCTTGTCGTATGCTTGTCGTAAGAGGCGACTAACAAGGTCGGGTGGTCAGGCCCGCTGGCTTGGTTGATGCATGTCCCGCGGACATTTAGAATAATCGTCAATTCTCTAAATTGCCAGTGAGAGGGTTGATCAGTGGATCATGATCAACACTTGGCTTAGAGCCACCCAGTCTTATAACTGAATTGCTGTTCAAATGGACGTCGTAAAAACACACCCAATCACTTTCTGTAGTGGTATATATAAGTTCAGATGTCTTACCTTTACAAATAAACCTGGGTAGCTCTGTCTTTTATGTGTGCAATCGTTCTGTGGTGATTGTCGAATGTTGAATTTAGGTAATTCTATCAGGGTCTAGTTAAGTATGTCGGCAATACACGTCGACTTAAAAACTTCAAAATTCAATGAACACACTTTCGCTTCACGACTTCCGAATGAATGCACCCACAAATCATTGCAGGATCTATTTGTGTATATCCGGTTTGATTGTTGCCTGTTGCTTAACGCCGCACTCAACAATATTCCCGCTAAATGACGGCGGTCTATACATAATTGAGTCCATTCAACGGGGTAATATTGAAGCGTGTTGAGCATGCTGTAGGGTAGCATGAGCAGTACTAGTAGTGGCAGTTCTAGTTGTAGTAGTAAAACTATTATCCCCAAGTGGAAGGGGGATATAGGAATTGGTGCTGTCCGTCCGTCCTTCCATCCTTCCGTCCGTCCGTCCGTCACGCTTCGCTTCCAGAGCAGAACTAAAATACCATGAGAGATATCTTAACCAAACTTGGCACATATATAGGTCTAGTGGTGAACTGGTGCCACCTGCCTGGTTGTGTGGGAGGTGACAATGTGCGATCTGCCCGGTTGTGTGGGAGGTGACAATGTGCGACCTGCCTGGTTGTGTGGGAAGTAACAATGTGCGACCTGCCCGGTTGTGTGGGAGGTGACAATGTGCGACCTGCCTGGTTGTTTCTGAGGTTACAATGTGCGACCTGCCTGGTTGTTTCTGAGGTTACAATGTGCGACCTGCCTGGTTGTGTTAGAGGTGACAATGTGCGACCTGCCTGGTTGTGTGGGAAGTAACAATGTGCGACCTGCCTGGTTGTGTGGGAAGTAACAATGTGCGACCTGCCCGGTTGTGTGGGAGGTGACAATGTGCGACCTGCCTAGTTGTTTCTGAGGTTACAATGTGCGACCTGCCTGGTTTTTTTTTCCAATCATTTTTATTCCAATTTCAGTGGTTACATACACAGTGATATATATATATATATATATATTGTAGTTGTATTGTAGTTTTTCTTTAGCAATAGAGTCAAAGTGATTGGAAATAATCAATAATAACACACAGTCAGCAATCTATGTAAGATTCAAGGCATCATGCAAACCAAAATACGATTTCCACTTTTTGTTATAAGTACAAAGCTTATTATTAGTTTTTGCTGATAGATTTTCTAAATAAAAATGTGTCTCTTAGCTAACATAATAATATGATTATTTGCAGATTTTGCACTTTTTTCACCAAAACATACATTAAATCTTGTAAAAAGTATATGACAAGTTCCAACAGAATTAAAAAAAGACTCCAAGTTCTGCCAGAATTCAAACATATATTCACAGTCATAAAATACATGCATCAAGTTTTCTTTCTCTATCTTGCAAAATTCACATAAATCATCATCGACAAGTTTCATTTTATACAGTTCTTTTTTTGTATATATCATTCTATGCAGGAATCTGAATTGAAAAGCTATCAACTTTACATCTCTAATGTCTTTTCTAAAAAAGACAAAAGTTTTAGCCCATTCTAAGCATTCACCAAATTCAACCTCCCATTTCTTGCATATTTTGGGTTGTGAGTCAGAAAAAATAAGTTTATCATAAAAAAGTCTTGAACCTTTTTTACAAATCAATAAGTCCTGATAGCATGGAAGAATATACATATCAAAACATAAATCTACATCAAATTGTTTTTTAATTGCTATTTTCAATGTTTGAGGAATAATTGAAATAAGTTGAACATAATGCAAAAAGTCCCTTTAATATTGTACCTTGTTTTTAGGATTTCAAATGGAGTAAATCTATTTCCCTGACATATGTGTTTTAGGGACCAAATACCCTTATTATACCAATCTTTTAAGAACAAAATTGGGGAGTTTAAGTACTGGTTTAACCATAATGTATGATTCATAATGTTTTCAATAAGAGAAAGGTCTAATTCATATTTTCTAAAATATTCACACCAAGCTTTAATAACATCATTCCAATAAGGGTTAGAAGCTTTTGTGTAGATAAAAGCATTTGAACCTAATCTTAGTAAATCTTTTACTGGAATGTCATATTGCTGACATTTCTGATGTTTAATACATTTACTTAAAAAGAGATTTTTAGAGATTTCACAAAAGTTTTAATATCAGGCATTCTTAGTCCTCTATTTTTATATTCTCTCTTAATATTTTCTCTTTTTATTTTATCTGTTTTTCCGTTCCAAAGAAAATCAAAAAATATTTTATCTAATTTTTTAATAATAGCATCAGGAGTGAGTGAGTGAGTATGGTTTTACGCCGCTTTTAGCAATATTCCAGCAATATCACGGCGGGGGACACCAGAAATGGGCTTCACACATTGTACCCATGTCGGGAATCGAACCTGGGTCTTCGGCGTGACGAGCCAACGCTTTAACCACTAGGCTACCCGACCGCCCCAATAGCATCAGGAGGATTTGGGAGTGCAGAGAATATGTGAACTAGCTGTGGTAAAGAAAGTGTTTTAATAACTGTAATTCTCCCAATTAATGTTAAATGCCTTTTTCTCCAGTTTGCTAAAAGTTTAGTGATATTTTCTAATCTTTTACGAGTATTGATTACCCATAAATCCTTTAATTCCGGGTTAAGAATAATAATAAGTCCCCATTGTGCCACTCCAAGTTGGGCTGATCACATATTTTTTATCTGCTCCCAGCGAGGGCGCCTATCCATATAGCCTTTGTTTTATCCATATTTATTTTTAGCCCTGACATTTGGTAGAAATCATTAAGTGTTTTAATTGCAACATTAAGACATTCCGGAGTACCATCTAAGAATAATTCAGTGTCGTCTGCATATTGACCAAGTTTATGTTTTTTTCCATGCATCTCTATACCTCTAATGTTTGTATTCTCTCTAATAAGTATGCTTAGAATTTCGGCTACTAGAATAAAAAGATATGGGGAAATGGGATCACCTTGTCTACATCCTCTTTCATTTTCAAAGAAAGAAGAAAGATGGCCATTTTGTATGACACAGGAAGAACTATTGTTTATAAGCATATTTACCAAATAAACAATTAAGGATCCAAAACCAAATTTTTTAAGAACGTCTATTATGAATGATTTGCAAATTGTGTCAAAGGCTTTCTCAAAATCTATAAGAAGAAGAAGAAGACCTGTTTTATTTTGTTCTTTTAGATGGAATATGATATCATATAATAATCTTGTATTTTCTGCAATGCATCTTCCTGGTATAAAGCCAGTTTGGTTTTCATCAATTAGAGAAGGGAGAGTTTTCTTTATTCTATTTGCAATACATGCACTCATTATTTTGTATAATACATTAAGGAGAGTTATAGGTCGCCAGTTTTTTAGTAAAGTTCATCCTTTATACCTTTGGGAGGGGCGGTCGGGTAGCCTAGTGGTTAAAGCGTTCGCTCGTCACGCCGAAGACCCGGATTCGATTCCCGACATGGGTACAATGTGTGAAGCCCATTTCTGGTGTCCCCCGCCTAGATATTGCTGTAATATTTCTAAAAGCGGCGTAAAACCATACTCACTCACTCACTCACTTACCTTTGGGAATACAGGTGATGATACCTCTGTTAACGGTTATTGTTAATTTCTTATTCACTAATGTATCTGAAGATCCAAGGGCCTAATTCCTTCCCAAAAAAACCAAAAACAATTCTATGCTGAAACCATCACGACCTGGACTCATGTTATTTTTCATATCCATGACAACTCTATTAATTTCCTCTTGAGTGATTTTTTGTTCCATACTATCTCTTAAATTCAAGTTTAGGAGTTTTGATATCTTTTAAAAAACTATTTAAGTTATCGTTTTCGAAATTTGGATTAGTATATAATTTTTGATAGAAGTGTTTTTGTTGCTCTAGTATCTGGTTTTCCATCTGTAATCGTATTACCTGAATCATCTACTAGTTTATGTATCAATTTATCTGTAAAATTTCTTTTCTCTAAATGGCAAAAAAACCTGGTTGGTTTCTCTCCATCATCATACCATCTTAGTCTGCTTCTAATTTCTTGAGCTCTTACTTCTTCCTCTTTTATTTGTTCTAAGCTTGGAAATTTGGGCGAATTTATTTCGTTAACATGTTGAAAATCATTTCTTCTTTGATCTTCTACCTCATTTATATCTTTTTCAAGTAACTGTATTTTATTCTTTTTTTTCTCTTCAAATAAGATGATATTGAAATTGAATTTCCTCTAACTTTCATCAAGAAGGTTTCGAATACAATTGTTGCTGGGTATTTTAATTTCAAAAGCTCTACAGGAACATTATCCTGGTCATTACAGGCATATTCAAGTTTAACTTCAAGTGTTGCGACCTGCCTGGTTGTTTCTGAGGTTACATTTGTCCGACCTACCCGGTTGTTTCTAGGTGACAATGTGCGACCTGCCTGGTTGTGTGGGAGGTGACAATGTGCGACCTGCCTGGTTGTGTGGGAGGTGACAATGTGCGACCTGCCTGGTTGTGTGGGAGGTGACAATGTGCGGCCTGCCTGGTTGTGTGGGAGGTGACAATGTGCGGCCTGCCTGGTTGTGTGGGAGGTGACAATGTGCGGCCTGCCTGGTTGTGTGGGAGGTGACAATGTGCGGCCTGCCTGGTTGTGTGGGAGGTTACATTGTGCGACCTGCCTGGTTGTGTGGGAGGTGAGAATGTGCGACCTGCCTGGTTGTTTCTAAGGTTACAATGTGCGACCTGCCTGGTTGTGTGGGAGGTGAGAATGTGCGACCTGCCCGGTTGTTTCTGAGGTTACAATTTGCGACCTGCCTAGTTGTTTCTGAGGTTACATTGTGCGACCTGCCTGGTTGTGTGGGAGGTGACAATGTGCGACCTGCCTGGTTGTGTGGGAGGTGACAATGTGCGACCTGCCTGGTTGTTTCTGAGGTTACAATGGGCGACCTGCCTGGTTGTGTGGGAGGTGACAATGTGCGACCTGCCTGGTTGTTTCTAAGGTTACAATGTGCGACCTGCCTGGTTGTGTGGGAGGTGAGAATGTGCGACCTGCCCGGTTGTTTCTGAGGTTACAATTTGCGACCTGCCTAGTTGTTTCTGAGGTTACATTGTGCGACCTGCCTGGTTGTGTGGGAGGTGACAATGTGCGACCTGCCTGGTTCTGTGGGTGGTGACAATGTGCGACCTGCCTGGTTGTTTCTGAGGTTACAATTTCCGACCTGCCTGGTTGTTTCTGAGGTGACATTGTGCGACCTGCCTGGTTGTGTGGGAGGTGACAATGTGCGACCTGCCTGGTTGTGTGGGTGGTGACAATGTGCGACCTGCCTGGTTGTTTCTGAGGTGACAATGTGCGACCTGCCTGGTTGTTTCTGAGGTTACATTGTGCGACCTGCCTGGTTGTGTGGGAGGTGACAATGTGCGACCTGCCTGGTTGTGTGGGAGGTGACAATGTGCGACCTGCCTGGTTGTGTGGGAGGTGACAATGTGCGACCTGCCCGGTTGTTTCTGAGGTTACAAAGTGCGACCTGCCTGGTTGTGTGGGAGGTTACATTGTGCGACCTGCCTGGTTGTGTGGGAGGTGACAATGTGCGACCTGCCTGGTTGTGTGGGAGGTGAGAATGTGCGACCTGCCCGGTTGTTTCTGAGGTTACAATGTGCGACCTGCCTGGTTGTTTCTGAGGTTACATTGTGCGACCTGCCTGGTTGTGTGGGAGGTGAGAATATGCGACCTGCCCTGTTGTTTCTGAGGTAACAATGTGCGACCTGCCTGGTTGTTTCTGAGGTTACATTGTGCGACCTGCCTGGTTGTGTGGGTGGTGACAATGTGCGACCTGCCTGTTTGTTTCTGAGGTTACATTGTGCGACCTGCCTGGTTGTTTCTGAGGTTACATTGTGCGACCTGCCTGGTTGTGTGGGAGGTGACAATGTGCGACCTGCCTGGTTGTGTGGGAGGTGACAATGTGCGACCTGCCTGGTTGTGTGGGAGGTGACAATGTGCGACCTGCCCGGTTGTTTCTGAGGTTACATTGTGCGACCTGCCTGGTTGTGTGGGAGGTGACAATGTGCGACCTGCCCGGTTGTGTGGGAGGTGACAATGTGCGACCTGCCTGGTTGTGTGGAAGGTGACAATGTGCGACCTGCCTGGTTGTGTGGAAGGTGACAATTTGCGACCTGCCCGGTTGTTTCTGAGGTTACAAAGTGCGACCTGCCTGGTTGTGTTGGAGGTTACATTGTGCGACCTGCCTGGTTGTGTGGGAGGTGACAATGTGCGACCTGCCTGGTTGTGTGGGAGGTGACAATGTGCGACCAACCTGGTTGTGTGGGAGGTGACAATGTGCGACCTGCCTGGTTGTTTCTGAGATGACAATGTGCGACCTGCCTGGTTGTTTCTGAGGTGACAATGTGCGACCTGCCTGGTTGTTTCTGAGGTTACATTGTGCGACCTGCCTGGTTGTGTGGGAGGTGACAATGTGCGACCTGCCTGGTTGTGTGGGAGGTTACATTGTGCGGCCTGCCTGGTTGTGTGGGAGGTGACAATGTGCGACCTGCCTGGTTGTGTGGGAGGTGAGAATGTGCGACCTTCCCGGTTGTTTCTGAGGTAACAATGTGCGACCTGCCTGGTTGTGTGGGAGGTGACAATGTGCGACCTGCCTGGTTGTTTCTGAGGTTACAATGTGCGACCTGCCTGGTTGTGTGGGAGGTGACAATGTGCGACCTGCCTGGTTGTTTCTAAGGTTACAATGTGCGACCTGCCTGGTTGTGTGGGAGGTGAGAATGTGCGACCTGCCCGGTTGTTTCTGAGGTTACAATTTGCGACCTGCCCGGATGTTTCTGAGGTTACATTGTGCGACCTGCCTGGTTGTGTGGGAGGTGACAATGTGCGACCTGCCTGGTTGTGTGGGAGGTGACAATGTGCGACCTGCCTGGTTGTTTCTGAGGTTACAATGTGCGACCTGCCTGGTTGTGTGGGAGGTGACAATGTGCGACCTGCCTGGTTGTTTCTAAGGTTACAATGTGCGACCTGCCTGGTTGTGTGGGAGGTGAGAATGTGCGACCTGCCCGGTTGTTTCTGAGGTTACAATTTGCGACCTGCCTAGTTGTTTCTGAGGTTACATTGTGCGACCTGCCTGGTTGTGTGGGAGGTGACAATGTGCGACCTGCCTGGTTGTGTGGGAGGTGACAATGTGCGACCTGCCTGGTTGTTTCTGAGGTTACAATTTGCGACCTGCCTGGTTGTTTCTGAGGTTACATTGTGCGACCTGCCTGGTTGTGTGGGAGGTGACAATGTGCGACCTGCCTGGTTGTTTCTGAGGTTACATTGTGCGACCTGCCTGGTTGTGTGGGAGGTGACAATGTGCGACCTGCCTGGTTGTGTGGGAGGTGACAATGTGCGACCTGCCTGGTTGTTTCTGAGGTTACATTGTGCGACCTGCCTGGTTGTTTCTGAGGTTACATTGTGCGACCTGCCTGGTTGTGTGGGAGGTGACAATGTGCGACCTGCCTGGTTGTTTCTGAGGTTACAATGTGCGACCTGCCTGGTTGTTTCTGAGGTTACAATGTGCGACCTGCCTGGTTGTGTGGGTGGTGACAATGTGCGACCCGCCTGGTTGTGTTGGAGGATACAATGTTCGGCCTGCCTGGTTTGGGATTGGGTGGTCAGGCTTTCTGACTTGGTTTGATGCATACCATCGTATCCAAATTGCGTTAATCGATGCTCATGGTATCAATCACTGGATTGTCTGGGCCAGATTCGATTATTTACAGACTGCTGTGATAAAGCTGGAATATTGCTGAGTGCGGCGTTAAATATCAAACAAACAAACAAAACATAAGGAAACGTTGGTAAGAATAGCCCACCACATGCTGAACAGCGGTCGATGTTCCCAATAAAGGATCCTCCCGCTTTTTTTATCTTGAACTGTCAACGACCTTGATTAGCCGTCACCTGGAGCTCTATTTTGTAACAGGAACATGCACGTCATACTTATGAATGTTGGCATATGACACTAGCATTTCGATACTAAATGATCGGGTATGGTTTTACGAAAATATCTTATTACTGTCAAATTATGTGTCATCGTGATTTTTTTGTCATGCTAGCATAGCCTAACTAGATTATTTACAGTTTGTGCCACAAACAGCATCAAATGTAGTACATGACAGGAAGTTTTATTACATACAAATATTTACATACAAACATTTGGCATAATGTTGGGGCTGCCTCTGTTGCCTTGTGACACCCTGGGTCGTGGTGACCCTGGTAAGATGACTGATAACTTGTGTAGCTGTGGGAGGGATATGCCGGTCCTGGGGTCCTGATAAATGACTATGGAATGCATGCCAATACATAGTACAAGCGAATCCAAAAAAGAAAACCACATATATGATACACATGATACATGAAGCAATGAAATACAGGAGGAGCTAAGGGGTGGCTGGAGGGTAACACGGTTGAGTGGCATGCAACAATGGAGAAAGTAACCGCGTGCGGGGCTGATGGGTTGATAAAGGAATATAACTGTGACGTCATGTCCGGCTTACTGGGCATGCACAGCCTGTTTGGAAGTTCATTGTGGGAAGTAATTACTGTAACATGATCCAGACGGAATGAAACAAATTTAGATGACAGAGGTTTTTAGAAATCGTGTTGTTGTTGCACAAACTAAACTATTAAATTACCATTTTGTGCAACAAACAACATCAAATGTAGTACATGACAGGAAGTTTTATTACATACAAATATTTACATACAAACATTTGGCATAATGTTGGGGCTGCCTCGGTTGCCTTGTGAGACCCTGGGGTCGAGGTGACCCGGGTTGACACCCTGGGGTTGTGACGACCCGAGTAAGATGACTGAATGTCCTGGGTTCTTAGGGACCCGGACTTGGGTATCTGTGGGAGGGATATGCAGGTCCTGGGGTCCGAAGACCCGGACGATCCCTAGAGATAAGCTGGTCCTGGTCGTGCTGACCGGACGGTGCCGAAATAGCGTATTGTTCTTTGGGGACCACAAGCCTTCAATGCTCTGAGTATGGAGTGGCTTATGACGCCCAAACGAGGTTAGTAACCGAGAGCCCCCACAGAATTAAGAATATAAGTGAAATAGATAACATGAATATCGTACTTAGTTATTAGCGACACATAGCCTTGTGGGCTTGCACTAAGGTGGCTTCGGACGTTCTGATATCTGGCATAACAGTCCGAAGTCCACCTGCCCATAGTCTGAATGAGGTGATCCTCGATGTGAACAGTGGCTGCCGTAATGGCTGCTCCAATCCAGAAGGAGTGCCCCGAGTAGTCTGCGGAGTTATAGCCAGCTAGTGTAATGACCCTATCTAACCAAGACAAGAACACAGTCCTGGATATTGGTAGATAGTCCCGACTGACAAACTGTGAATCCTGGTTTGCAGCCCTGCACTGCGTTCTTATGGGAAACAGTTTGGACAAGGCCTAGTAGGGACATGTCATGGATGATGGTGTCAGAAGCGAATAAAGCAATGCGAACCCCTTGCCGGAAGGGATCAATCTTTGACACTTTTAGGGTTATAGCACATGTTCTTTTAAGATGTCCAAAATTAATGTCACTCATAGTTATGTTCCTATTGGGATCAAAGTTGGCCGAACATGTGAATTCTCCGCATCGCAGGAATCCGAAGCTCCTTAGTAGGGGTTAAATCCTATTCAGGGCACCGGTTGAGACATCGTCAAACAGTGTCCTAATGCCCGCTTGCAGATAAGTGAATCGGATTCCCGCCAGATAAGTCTTCACGGTGTCATGTGAGAGTTTTAGGGAGCCGAAGCAATGGGCAAGAAAGTACTGATCGTAGGCTTCATTAACTGGTGGCAGGACACTGCTAACACCCAGTGTGTTGAACAAACTGAACTTTAACATGAACTTGAGGTAGCACTGGAAACCTGTAGAATAGGCTGTTCTTGTTTGTCGACTGATCGCAGGTGACCACAGGGTGTCCAGGTGACGATTCAGGTCCACATCACTTGTGAGCTGGGTGGGCAAGGCGTTGGATGGAGTTCTGCGTGTGGCGCCAGGGCTCGGAATTTCCTGAACTGCAAACGGGAAAGTGCATCTGCAATGTTATTTTGCACACCTGGAATATGTTCGGCGAACACGATTAAGTTATTTATAGCTGCTGGCCATGAACGGGTCCGCATCCGAGCCACAATGTTCATACATTTTGATCTTCCCTTTTTGATAAAACACACAGCAGCTATATTGTCACAATGAAACAGTACTCTCTTCTGTGTCCAATGTCGTCCCCAGAGAATGGCCGACAACACAATAGGATAAACGGTTCCAAGAAAGCAATTGATTGTGCCAAATCTGGAATGTTTGTCACGTCCTGAGGCCACGTCTGGGCAAACCATGCCCCCTCAAAAAGTCCCCCGTGCCCTACACTTCCGGCTGCATCCGTATACAGATTGAAATTCCGAGCTGACGTGAAATGGTCGTCATGGAAAATCGAGATGCGATTCCACTGGTTCAGAAATTTCTTCCACATGTGCATCTATCCGACATTGCCTGGATAGTCTGATATGGTGGTGCAACTTGGCAACAGTTGCCGACAGTAGAATCAGATAAGATAGGAAGGATCTGCCTGGTACTACCACTCGACAAGCGTAGTTTAAATGTTCTAACAAAGACAGCAACTCTCTTTTCGCGCACTTAGTCCGGGTAGAGTATCGAATATCTTTGGACTAGATCTGCACCCGAAAGCCAATCTAGTGTAGATGTAGTAACTATCATCCCATGAGAAACCAAAGAAAGGCCAGAAGCTGGGGTGCAGCGGAATCTGTTTGAACGCGTCAGTAATGTCCACCTTACACATCTGTGCACCATGTCCCAGCTGCTCAATAACTGCGCATTGTCTATGGTCACATAAGAGAGTGAAGCAGTTTCCTTACTAATGAGATCATTGATACTAGTGGTATGTTCTGAGTCATGTGGGGCTGACGGATCAAGGATTAACCTCTTCTTTCTCGAGTACTTCCCGTGGCAATTCCTAAGGGGTTAATTCTGTACACAGGGTATGGTGCCTGCTGGAATGGTCCTATAACATACCTTTTTGCGACTTCTGCCAGCAATGCCTTTGTCGCTACTATTGGGTCCAATGAAACACTACGATTGTTTTTACATTCTGTTGTGGACGGTGGAACATCCGACTTTAAGGCGTTGAAGCCATGTTGCAATCCGAGATATGTTGCAAATAGAGAATGGGGATGGGAAGCAAGTTCTGCCTGTATAGTCTGAACATTGATGGGAGTGAGTGGGACTGTTAAAGTGCCTACATCCTCTTCTCCGGTTATATCCGGGAAAGTTAGTCAAGCTTGGTTATCCCGTCTAGACTTAGGAGGCTTCGCACAATTTACCTGCCCGTGATTTGGGGCATGGCAATTGAGACACACATGAAGGTACGCACAGTTCACTCTCACACAGCCCTGATGATTGAAATTATTACAGACCTCACGTCCGTTTGACTTAACTCGAGGTCGTCTCCTGGTGTCGTTTCTGTCTGTCGCCCCCTGCCTGTCGGAGATGACACTTCGGTCCGAGAACAGGTTAGGCCAAACTTTATCAGTACGTCACTCGGGACACAAGTCTGTACCATGGGGGATGTTGTGGCATATGGTACACGATCTGGAACGTTGACCCGAAGAACACAACCCGTACAAATGTGTGTCCCTCATATCCCATCGAATGCTGCATCCTTGTTCCGCATAAGACGCCACTCTGGCAGCAAATAACTTATGAAAGTCATAGTGCGTGGAGCCCCCATATAATGTACCTAGTTCAATGACAGTTTGCTCGTGTACGTCCAATTGTTTACGTCTTGCATTATTTGTGTCGTAGAAAATATCCTTATAAATGCCAAAGGCCTGGATGAATTCTGCTAGAGTCAGTGTACGATTAAACCTAACATCCTCTTTCAATTGGTAGACATTGCCACCATATTCTGCCATTCTTGCGTCTAAAGTGTCTTGGTTAGATAACAATAGCAAAGCAAGGGTGCAATACTTGCCGTCTTTGATCTTCTTCTTGAGCGCAGAGTGAATGTGGGGCAGAGAATCCGACGGCACTTATTTGCTGTGGTGATCCAGTAAGCCCGTAATCGGTTGGCACTGTGTGATGATAGTTCACAAATCCCAAAAAACTCCAGTCAGCCCTGGACGGAGTTGATCAATGGTGCAATAAATGTGGATTCAACCTTTCAAGTAAAACAAATACAGGGGGAATGATGCTATTATACCCTGTCTCTCCCAAAAAGGAAAACCAATCAAATTTTAAAATCCTGGGGGTGATTCCAGATTAACACCTCACTTGGAGTAAACATTTAGAAGATGTAGAAAACAGATGTCATAAAGGCCAGAACGAATTGCGATCAATTTCACGCACATTTTGGTGTACCTCGGGGGACACTCAGCTGGACCTCTACAAATCACTTATCAGATCAAAATGACTATGCCTGTGACGCCTTTCACTCAGCATCAAATACTGTCTTGAGCAGCCTCAGTGCAATTTCGATACGATGACATGCATCAACCAAGTCAGCAAGCCTGACCACCTGATCCCGTTTGTCGCCTCTTTGGTCTATCTGTGTTAGTTGAGTCTAACCATGCAAATCTGTTAGGCAATTGACCTCTGTTCTCTCGATCTTCTCAATAAATGTCTCCTCTATGTTCTTTTCATCAACAATATTTTCCAACTCAAGAGAGCCATACTTCGTCACAAGCGTCTTTACAATCACAACAAGAGACACAAAACACACGAAGGCCAAAACGGCCTCGATGAAAGTGATGTAGATGTACCATTTGAAGGATACTGTCTGGAAGAGGTAACCTAGCAACAAAGGGTTCAGAATTCCTTGCAAATTCTGTGCCACCCAGATTACTGACGTCACCATACCAGACACCTTCATCACGTCATTTTTAATATACACAATTGCAGTTGGGAATATAGCTGACATTCCTATTGCTGCAAGGACCATGCAGATCCATATCCCTGGGTCGGATTTATAAATTATGCTCAGCCACAGACCAGCTAAAGACAACACGCTGAGACCATTAGAAATAAACAAAAGCTGACGAGGGTTAAGGATTCGATAAAGTAGCACACACAGCAAGCGAGAGGCGGTATAACCCGCCCAATAGACTGATGTTAAATTGGCAGTCTTTTCTTTGCTCCATCCAAGGTCATTTACAAAATATGCCATCATGTAGTCAACGATGACACTGATGGAAGAAGAGGTGAAGAAATTCAAGCCTCCAACAGTTCCAAGGATAAGCACACGCAACCATCTGGGAATCACCCGGGGATTTTGGTGATTCTCATTTCTTGTTTTACGTTTTGTGTTTGGAGGACTGAAAAAGCATTCTGCAGTTATCATGATCCCCGACAGAAGACAGAGTGCACCTGCTATCATGTATGCGTACTGGATATTACTTTCGGAAGGGAGACAAATCTCCGGAATAAGGACGGTTGTTTCATTCGAGCTGTCAGCTGCATGTCCCTCGCTGTAGTTATAAGACTGTCGTACGTTATGTATGTCACAGAAGGTCGCGTTGTATGTTTTTTTCTCAGCTAGGAACGGTTCCACCATGAGTGGTGCTATGATGGTACCGACAGCAAAGACAAAGTGTAGAATCTGTATAAACATCTTGCCTTCCACACTTGACGTGCTCATCATGTCAAAGTTTCCACCTGAAAAACACCATACCAACTATTGATATTTTATTTATCTTTTTTTTGGAATATACATATATATTCTTCTAAATATATAAGCATTCCGTGTTTTGCTTACTTTAAATTAATGTTATTGCTAAAACAGATAATACAAATAATACTGTAAATGAAATCGTAATTATTTATGAAATTGAAAATCGAATAGTTGCCATTTAACTCATTGTTAATTTGATTACATCGGTTTCTCGTTGTAATAACGAGACGTAGCCACAGTGTCCTGTTATTTGAGACCATAGTTGCTATGTTTATGGATGATTTCTATTTCAACAAATGAACATTGATTTACCTGCATCAAAAGCCGTTGTTAATATCCCATTAACAAAAAATATAGAAATGGTCAAGAAGTAGGTCTTGCTCCATGGTATAGCGCTGGTGCTGACAGCGTTCATTAGAACAGAACTGGCTAGAATGGCTTGCCTGTGCTTGGCCACTTTCTCAATGAGGACACCCATGATGACTGATCCCACGAGTCCCCCTGTCGCAAGGGATGTATAGAAGATTGATGCTTCCTCTACATTGCTACCAGTGATCTGGGCCAGGTCCAAGAACGCTGGGCCGTGCTGGCCACGGCAGACACCCTGTAAACAATATTTGGTGAATTATAAGGTGAATTGGTAAATTTATAATGAGTGAGTGAATGAAAATATTTTTACAATAAAATCCTTTGAGGTTTGGAGAATCCACATGGTATAGATTCCTCCTATATGAAGAATATAATGAAAGTCCTTCCTCGATGGTATTTAGGATTGTTGTAAAAAACAGGGATTTTTGATTTGGTGGTACATTTGCTGGACAAGGCAATATATCTTTCTATTTGTACGGATTTTTTTAGCTTTGGAATCAAGTATGTAAGAGCAATGGACATGTTTTCAGGTTTTAGAGTCGAAAGTTGATGGATGGTTTAATAGTTAATATACTGGAATTATATGTGGTATTATTTAATATGTCACTTATATCAGGTCCTTTGATCAGACAATAAATAAAGTGATGCTAACATATAACTGTTATGTTATTTGAGGCCTTGTCTGTGCGAAGAAAAGTTTCACGTAGGGCAGGCAGACAATGGATGACAGCTGGCAGGGACAGAATGGGTTTATTCCAATTGTGTTTCCTCTTTTTCTGTTCGTGCATTCAAGCAATGACAACGTTAACATCACGCAATGTCACCACTCTTAAAGACCACGCACTGACTTATACCTATTCCTAGAGACCTGCAACATGTTCCGCTTTTCTTTGGCCATTTTTTTGGCATATGCTTCAAAAGCATCCATAATGACTTGAAATAGTGTGGGACATTTAGGAAAACGGATTTTTCTCTGACAACGTTACTTAAATTTAAAGCATTAAATCCCAGTTTGCAAATTTGAAAGTCAGGAACATGCGGTCTTTGTCTGATTTAGTGGCTGATTAGATGCCCATCGTTCGATATAACCAGGGTAAAATATGCAATGCATCTGATTACAACTCCGCTTATGATTGTTTTTCAATATCTGAGTGTAATAATTCACCAAAAGCGTTCAACCATAGTGGAGGTTTTAAAGTAAATTGAAACAAATGGACACAGACGAAACTTACCAGGACCAGAAACGCAAAGTACAGTATCAAGGTGTGGATGAACTTCCGTCGGAACTCGGGATCCTGTAGTTGCTGCCGGAAGTGAACTGTTCCCGGCGTTGATCTGACAGATTCCATGGCAAACTGAGGCAATATGACCAAAGATAAGTTGTATGTAATCAGGAACATCCCAATTGTTCATCTGACGTGGAGAGAGGGAGTTAGGAGATAAGCATTCATGCGTTTTCATTGTAGATATAAGTTTCCACATTTACCAGACATTACCATTGTGATTCAGGCTCACCTTTTTGCATGTAGCTTCACTATTTTATATTGATTCGAAAACACATGCTCACCCTTCATATATGTAACTACATGTATGCCTTTGTAACTGACTAGTAGCAATTCGGATTACCGCCAACCCGTTACGGCCTGGATTACTGAGTTTCATATCTAGGCTCCTGCTAATTGACGGTGGGGTGGACTGACTGTTGATGACATGGATGGGTAGCTATCGGCTCCCCGGTAGTGTTGGTGGTGTCATTGGAAAAGTGATTTTTTTAATTGTTTTATTGGCTGTCCAAATATGGTAAAATGAACACCATTGTGTTGCGCATGCGCGTGTGGTAATCCCCACAGAGAGGCCCCTGACACCCAGTCTAGACACCTTTAAACGGTTGTATTTCCCTAACCACCCCTTATAGGTATGTCCACCCCTATAATTTTGTATTTGTTAGATATGCCAGAACTTTCCAACGAGCCATCATGCGTCAAATTCGGTGAAATATTTAGACAAGTGTGTTTGTTCACCTCACCACCAAACTACTCGTAACAATATAGCTTACATAATGCCGATGTGACGTTAAATATTAACTCACTCACTCACTACCAAACTGAATTTTATAGCTCCATCAGAAATGTTGTTGCTGTCATTGGAAAAGTGCTAATTTTCGATTTTAACGTCAATACATAGAAATCCTTTGCAGAAACCAAATCACTTGAAATTTTGCATTACCATCAGAGGCTGAACATTCCCTGTAAAAAAATGTTGAAATGAACACCTTTGTGCTGCGCATGCGCGTATGGTAATCGTCCCAAAGAGCCACTGGTACCCCGTTCAGGCACTTTTCAATGGTGGTTGTATTTCCCTAACCACCAACTATTAGCATGTCGGATTTTGTATCAGAAGTCTTAGAATGTCGCGAAATTTCCAACCAGCCATCATATATCAAAATCGTGTACCTGAAGATAAACGTACAGTGTTTGAAAATTAGATTAATGTTAGAGACTATCAATTCGGCCCAACATTAATCTAATTTTCGATTATTGTACATTATCTCCATCATCTCATGACAGATTTATAATCGAACTACTTCGTCCTGCGGACGACAGTGCGTAATCCGGCATGGCACAAGAGGCGAATTGAACTCGTCTGTGAAAGCGGTGGTAGGTGTCTTTCTTTGTGTAACGTAAAAAAGATATTCGTCAAAAGAAAACAAACAACTATTTGTTCAAGGCAACAATGTTTTACGTTGTAAATAAGTAACAGCTTGGTTACATAAACCCTCCAAACACGACAGAAACCATCTGACTGTTTGGTTTGCCGCTGTACTGTACGTACCCCCTACCAACACTACATGGAATGGCCTGACCTACTTATTTCCTCAACAATTTAAAATTTGGAAAGAGGCGGATGTGCCACTTTTCATACTTTGTGCGAGATTGAAATTTGAATTGATAGTGGAAAATACTTGACTGACTGTCGAATTTGAACCCTTCAGAATAGAATAATAGTTATTTTTCTGATCTGCCGAAGAGTCAATGTTTTAACTCATCAAGGACTGTTGATTTTTGTGACCAGGAGTTGGACGACTTCATGTGCCTCTACCCCGGCAGGCGACAAAGGAGTGTCGGCGGTGACCCTAACGCAAATGCGACTGACTTGGGATTTGGAAATTGTTTTCATCATTTGGGACAGGGGATTGAGGCCAAGTGGTTTTAAAGAGTACAAACATGGATCCCCAGCAGTGACAGTTTTGCCGGGAAGCTGGTTGAAAACAGGATTCTTGTGGTTAACATTGTCATGTTTTTTTTATAGTAAATGCAACCGGGCACGAGGGAATATGAGTGGCCTAAATTCGGGGTTTTGCCTGACCCTTATCTTGCATGGCCCCTGGATGATTTTTGGTGGGGTTTGGTAGCTCTATCCCAACATCGTCTGATTCGATGACAAATGATTTGTATAAGTGCACAGTGAGGCGGTCATAAAATCATAGGTTTTTTTCAATCCAAATTGATTTTGGCTTATTTTATTGATTGTTGAATCAAATTCGAGTATTTCATGACAACATCTGCGTTAACAGGATTCCATATGCATTGTTTAGCATCGTACTGACAAGAACCACTCAGAAAAACAAAAAATGCCACGCCTGTTCGAAAATGAGCGTCTGCGAGCCATTGGTATGCTTGAAGCAGGACCGAGTCAATGGGTTGTTGCAAGACAATTTAACGTCCACAGAAACACCATTTGGTGTTTATGGCAACGTTGGCAACAGACGAATGCAGTCAGAGACCATTCTCAGAGTGGCAAGGCACACGTAACCAATAATTAACAAGACAACTGGATTCGAACAACACACCTACGAAATCGATTCCAGCCAGCAACAGTGACTACGCTGTCGGCCTGTTGTTCGACCGTTTTTGCGTCGTCATGGCTCAGCCATTACCTTTCAACATGGTCATATTGCTCTACTTGTTCAGGATTCTCCTTAACAAAACAACGTAAATGTCATCCCCTGGCCCGCTCGCTCCCCTGATCTCTCACCAATCGAGCACATGCGAGATGAGATGGATCGGCACCTTCGACGTCAACAACGTGTTCCACAGACACTCCAGGAACTTCGAAACATGCTCCAGCAGATATGGACAGATATCCAACAGGATCTTGTGCGACGCCTGGTCCATTCAATGAGACAAAGATGTGTTGCTTGCATCGCATCACACACGCTATTGATTTGTAAATTGACATTTTGGCATGTTGATTTTTTTATTTTTATGAAATCACGCATTTTCTGAAGTCAGTATGACAAATTAACCATTTGATCACTTACAGGAGTCTTTTATCTATTGCAAACCGAAATTGTTTCAGATTTGGTAAAAAACATAAATTTGCATCAAATCTTATTCAGTGCCACAGGAGATTGTGTTGTTCAGTATACAGAATGTAATGACACTGTACAATGACGACCGCTGGACTTTGCTGAGCGGTGTTGGAAATAAAGCCAGGGAGCGGAAAGGTCACTTGACCTCGACACAAGCAAAATACACTCCGGTGACACTAGTCAGTTTTGATCTGTTCTCCACTTATGCATTAAACAATATTTGAAAAAGATTAATGGTCCAAGATAATTCTTGAGAGAAATTGAATATTTTAGGAAACATGTGGGAATCTGTTGGTGCCAGATCTGGCGAGTATGGAGGGTGAGGGAGCTCTTCAAACCCACATTGTCGCACAGCAGCCTTTGCAAGTCGGGAGGTGTGAGAAGAGGCATGGCCATGAAGTAGTACAACTCCAGCAGTCAGCATTCCTCACCACTTTTCTTTGATAGAATCTCTCAGGCGAAGAAGCAAATCAGCATAGTAAGGACCAGTAATCGTCTTTTGATTTTCTAAGTAATCAACAAGGATCACACTCTTTGGATCCCAGAATACAGTGGCCATAACTTCCTTCACTGATCTTGAAGACTTGAATTTCTTTGGTGCCGGAGAAGTGGAATGGTGCCAGTCAATGGATTGATGGCTTGACTCGGGATCACAGAGATAGATCCATGTTTCATCACCCATTACCAATCTCTTTTTGAATTGGACGAAATCCTAATATGAAATCCTAATGTATAAGTTCCGAATTTTCTCTGGCAATGTCAGTTCTTTTTTCCTTCAGGTCCGAATTTAGAAACTGTGGCACCCAACGAGAAGATATCTTATTCATCTGTAAATGTTCATGAATAGTAGTTTTAATGGATCCATGGCTTAGACCTGGTAATACGTCTATCTGACAGTATAAGTTTGATTGAATCTTCATTGATGGAAGTTGAGGGACGTGCCTGACCTAGGGTCATCATCAAGGCTTGTTCTCCTAGCTTTTGTTCTTTTTACCCTATTATCCTGACACGTTAACATATCAGCAGCCTGCAAGCAGTCGTGTGATATATATTAAAGGCCGTGATAGTGACATTGTGCAATATGTGTATGGTTTTTATTGTTACGCTTTTGCCATTAATATTCATTGAATGTATTGTTAGTTTAAAACTGTAAGCGTTTTACTTGAAGCATCATTAACCATAAGTTATGACAAATGGTGTATACACTCTTCAAAAAAAGAAACGCACAGGTAGTATGTAGTTCATTGAACCTGACTACACAAAAAATCCGATATAAATTGGATATATGTTATTGGAAAATGTTGGTGGCCTGATATTCGACAAACGGTGCGTGAAAACGCAGCCATTGTCGATTTGCAATATCTTAAACAGCATTGTTTTCACACTTGTTCAAAAATGTCATGGAGGAAAACCGTTTAGCAAAATGCACGTGCAAGTTATGACATTCGTATCTCGTGGTAGTGGCTATAAAAAGGCAAGCATAAGCCAATAATTTGTCATTCAGTTGTCAACATTTTTCAAGTGTGAAAATGCCGAGACTCAGCGCTGCCGATCTGAACATCGCCATAGAACGTATCCAAAGAGGGGAATCGCAGTCTTCTGTTGTTCGCCATTTCAACGTCCACCATAGCACCATTTGCCGCCTTTGTGACTGATACACACAGTTCAATTCCACTGCAGACCGTCCGAGAACCAGCCGACATCGCTACATTTTACTGTTCAGCCTACGTCATCCCAATACCACAGCTACGGTGACGGCAGGACGCATGCCTGGTTTGAGGAGGATATCGGACCAGACTGTCAGGAACCATCTTCGCGAGGTTGGAATCTGACCCAGTGATCATCCCTGTTTTGCAACAGATCCATCGACAGGGATGCTTACGTTGGTGCCATACCTTAGGACCTTGGAATTTGAGAAATTGTGGCTGCAGATCAATCACCCCCATATGAACTGTAAAGCATATCAATATTTTCTCT